TATACTGCCACCGCTGCTTGCAAGAGCTCGGATTCCACGTGCGAATGGTGTTTGATAATAGGGAATCTGTCCGGTGTGACCACAGTTAATTACACGCTATCTCCGTATTAAAATATACAGTGTACTTTTAACTTGCGTAGATTAGAATAAAAATGGGATTGAAGAGAATTTATAATGGGTTTCAACTTGTAACTGTAGACTACTATAGCTATTACAATTTTTTCCCTGTGTAATGAGTCCGGCACTGCCAAAATATCTAGTTTTTAAGCAAAGTAGAGAAAATGTCCAGGCGATGGGAATTTCAAATCAGCTTTTAAAATGTGTGTACTTTGAGAAAATTCGAAAGAAAGCATGGTGAGATTTAAACACACTTATAACCAGTTGGCCAAAGTGATTCTTCGACGTGCATTGTGGCTTTAAGCAGTTTTAAAATAGCATACAATTTACAATTATATATTTTCTATCAGCATGAAAAAATACTTTTTTTTTAAACTTAGTCATTTGTATATCATATTGTTCAGTATTTGTCCCGATTTGATTCTTGGGATATATCAACTTTTTTTGACAGAGGTATGCATACAATTCCTCCTCTGATTTTAACAATCTATAATGGGCTATGGATATTGCCAATCATCAATCTCCTCTTTGCTGCTTCCCTGCTCCTATTGCTTGATGATGATACCATATGGTGATCACATAGCAATGGCCATTTTATTATAGAAGTGGTTAGAATGTACAATATATGACCCAGAATTAATAACATAGTAATTATCACAATTAAACTGCAACAATAATTGCAAGGCAATAACTACCACACTTTGCGATGATACCACGATTGCGATGTTATGACGGTAACCACTCCTGAATTTCATGCACGCATTTTTACCGTGCCTGTACATTGTCTCTCCAAGCACCCTCCTCTACATTAGCATCATCACCGTCGTCACCGTCGACATCATCATCATCACCATTACCATTATGATGTTGTTATGGCGATGCTCATGCTGCTATTGCCACTGCTGATGATGAAATCGACGAGTGCGGTGTGTGATTGGGGAATGTACGGCGTGCGCCCTGAGACTGCATAGTGACGCGGCCGCGCACACACGCGCGCGGACGCGTTGGCGGAGCGCGTGAGCGCTACGCGAGGCCGTGTGCGTGCGGCGAGCGCGTAATGTAGCGGCACGGGCCGCTCAGGGCCCCCCGCCGCGCACTGCTGCTGCCGCGGAGCCCGCGCAGCTGTGCCGGGCCCCCCCACCCCAGTACACGTGGCACCACCCCAAGTCCACGTGCGGCCATGATTACCATCGCCGCTATCGTTGTAGTCATCGTCATCAGCGTCGTCCGACCGTGCTCAATTCGGTGCTGGATGAAGGCCTCAGCTAGGTCATCGCCGTCTCGCGTGGTCCTTCAGATGTAACGATCCACCCAGACGCCCGCACGCGAGCAGATTTCATCGCTCCGTCTCCGCGTGCGGCGGTCGTGTCCCTCGGACGCGTTCCCGCTCTCTGGCTGCAACTCGCGCCACCGCATCGCGTTGGCGAGATGTTATATCCCTCGCCTGGTATGCAGGAAGTCGTGGGTTCGGTCGCGACCCCGACGCTTGTATATTTGTTTGGTCGCATGGATTTTTCTCCGGGTCCTCCAGTTTTCCCCTCCACATTTAGAAACATGCGTTTAGATTATTTGGCTGCTTTAAATTGGCACGTGATAGAGCACTTCGTTAGGCTATCATTTGTGGCCAGGTAGCTACTGAAAAGAGCTAATAGCTCAGTGTGCTTAACCTGGTAAAAATAAAAAATAGTTTTAGTTCAGTTTTATCTTGCAATATTTTGTCTTGTTTTGTTGCACAACAACAGTGCTTAAGCGCATAAATAGCAAAGTATGCTGCCGTCTGCAGTAAAGTGTGCCGTTTAAGACTTTGTGACAAACAATGATATAATCGCCCATCGTGCACAAATGTCATATCTCAAATAACAAAGTTTAAAATTGCCCCTGGCTAAAATAATTATAGTAATAATAAAATTAATAACTACCCATGCATAGCTGCACTCCCCCAGGTCTCTGCTGCACCGAAGATAATGAATCTCGCCGTGCCCTCACCTGCTTAAATAACGCACATCAATCATGGGCTGTGTGAGCACAGTGGGAGGGCGTCGGAATTGGGGGCTCTGCAGCCGGCATCTCGGCCTCCATCCCCGTGCCATCAGGGATGCAGTGGGGGGGCAGTGTGGGAGCCGTTGCCACCGGTGGTGATAGTGGCGGTGGTCGCGGTAGCTTTGGTGGCGTGATGAGTGGACAGCGCGCTATGAACCCAACAGCTTGAGTTCGATTCCCGCCCACCATGGCTGACATCAGTGGTGATTATCTGAACTCGTCCTGGTGGTGTGTAAAGAACAAGTGGGGAGACAAAGGCGGTTGGACGCTAAGAGCACTTGCCCCAACAGTCTATGTAGGCTACACAGGGTATAGTCGAATGGGTGGTGGTGATGGTATTGATGGATGAGTGGGGCTGGTGGTATAGTCGAATGGGTGGTGGTGATGGTATTGATGGATGAGTGGGGCTGGTGGTATAGTCGAATGGGTGGTGGTGATGGTGTTGATGGATGAGTGGGGCTGGTGGTATAGTCGAATGGGTGGTGGTGATGGTTGAATGGATGGTGGTGGTGGCGGTGGTCCATGGCACAACGCTCGACTTACTGACCACCACCGGTGGATCGCATTCTCTTCTTGACGGCATCGCCAGGCGTGTCGGCATCCCGTGGTTTCCCTCCTCCCCACCCCCTCCTTTTACAGAGGCGAGCGAGCAGCGTAACGCAGCGTACCACGGGCACGCCGCGCAGAGCTGATTTATTCACGCCGGAGCCTGGCATCTCGGCGAGCCGGCTGTTGGGATAACCTCGCTAAACAAGAAAGCAATTTGTGGCAGATTTTGACAGCTGGGGCTTGGGTCTGCATTCCGCCAGGCTGTGAATTACAGCATATAAAAACACGACAAGAATTACTTGATAATTTCAGCCGCATCGCGTCAGTGAATAAATGATGAGCGGACTTGTCTGTTCTCTTAATGGCTTTTGGTTTTACAAGACGACAAGTGAAAATGCTTCATTTTCATTCTTGATTCAGAGAATGCCGTGCGAATGCAAACTAAGTCTCAGGAAATGCTCCCGATCTGACAGATCTCAAAACCTAGAAGCAGGGCAAGAGGTTAGACAGTGCTAGGATGGGCGGCTGTCATGGCATAACATGTGTTATTATCGGCTGAGCGGCTCCATTGTACTGTACTGCTACGCTCACACATCTACGTTCCGCGCCTTCGCCAACCTGCGCCGGCCAGGCGGGTGAAGTGTGGTCCAATATACGTCCCACGACCCTGGTGTGACATGGGGAAAAGCCTTCATCCATCAGTGCTGTCTAGACAAACAACCACCGCACATTTACATTTAAACTTGTTTTTATTTACATTTAAGAGTGCACTTTCTCGACGGAAGTTGTAGGAGAATAGCCGTGGAATCTCCAGCGTTCGCCCATTATTCTCGGCATATTTTTTGGTAATAACAATAATTAAGGGCTCTTAATTACAGCGACTTTACCCATGTTCAGCCAGTAAGCAATGCAAATTGGATTTGAGGCACTACAATGAGGATGTATTTTCTTTTCATCTCTTTTGGAATAATTGCGATAGAGAAATTCAGGGGGTAACAACTCCTCACAGCGGGCTCTGATTGCTAAAGAGTATTGCTTTGTTGTAATGAGTGATGTTTGCTCTGCAGTTAGTTATTTTTGGTCCGTGGTGACTCTACCGTCTAATTTATTTAAGAGCTGAGCCCCTGCCAACACCTGGTGATGGGGGTTGTAATGTCCAGCGAAACGTCGGACAAAATTGTCAAAAATAATCGCTTTATTCTCAACATTCCTCTGCTTTTGCAGAGTTGCAGCATGAAGCAGGGAGGGCTTCATCCAGCAGTGTCACCATTCTATAAAAATGTGTGACACATTAGGCGATACATTATTACTACTGATATGCTATTGACTTCTCCAAGACAGAGGTTCTCTGCAAGCCATCTGGCTACCATGAGAGATTCGTTCATGAGGATATCCGCATATACAAACACAGAGACAATTTCAACAGAGAAGATGGATTCTGGCTTAGCAATCATTGGAAGGATTTGATCAACCATTTCGGGTCTTAATTGATTGTTCATGCTAATGGCTTTCAGACCGCATTCCATTCTCTTTCTCTCCCCCCCCTCTTTTCCAAACATAGATGGACTCGTCCATCTGAACAAACTGTCAAATCGCTCTCCGTGGTGCTAACGTTAAAAATAACTGCCACTTCTTTCAAATTTTCTTGCTGTGGTTTTCACACCTGATGATGACTGCTTGTGTTGCAGTCGAAACGTCGTGGGAATTTTATTGTTTTATATATTTGTATTATTTAATTGTTTCCCTTCTACGTGGTGACTTTACCGAAAGAACCAAGAATATGATATGCTATCGTTACATTTATGAGAGAACGTGGCCCCAGAAGGGCGCCCATCGCAGAAATGGAGCGATGAAATCGGCTCGTGTGCAGGAGCTAGGTGGGTTGTTACATCGTAGGACCACAAGAAGATGGCGATGACTTGGAGAGGCCTTTACCCAGCAGTGGATTAATCATGGCTGTGTATATATGTATGTTGAACTTCTTTCGCTCTGTACGTAGCCAACCGTGCTGATCAGAGGTGCGGCTAATAATGACGATGCTGAACAATGTTACATTTAGGCTAATGAAGGGATTAATGCTGTGAAAACGAGAATGTAAGCGAGAGGCAACGCTGCAAGCGAGGTGGTGAAAGTGAGACAAAAGAACTCGAGCCGTGAGTCGAATCACGTCTCCGAACCGCGACAAATTCATTGCGTTTGTTGCGGGAACAAAGTGGTGGGGGGCGTTTGAAGGGGGGGGAGGGCGCAAATAAGTCACACACGTCCGACAATAATCGTGCCGCTCCACGCTTCAGGCGGCGAACACCTGGGAGGGCCGCGTTTGGAAGCGTCGTGGACGCAGCCGCCCCAGGGCAGCTCCTCGGCTCCCCTGCCGACGTCGCGCCGAGGCCAGCGATTGGCTCGCGCGAGGACTCAAGAGCCGTCCCGGGAACCAGCGCCAGCAGAGCCATCGCAGCTGCAGGTGAGGCCCATCTGGAAGAAAACAAACAAACCGTGGCTTAAATCCGAGACGACGTTGACGAGGGCGATTCAGGTGTGCCGGAATCCGGGATTCAATTTCAGCCCCCCCCCCCCCCCGCTGATTTTTGTTGGTGAGAAAATTTAACAAATGTACACAAATTCGATTTTTTTCCATTATAAATTAGGCATCCATCGTTGTGCTTTGAATCGACATCAACGGTTACAAAATTTAAATGACATGTTAGTTTTGCTAATTGTGGTGTTATATTGGCAAATGTTTCTGTTTGATAGTCGCTGATGTATTTTGAGTTATCTTTCGTTTTGAATATTTTTTTAATTATGGCAAAAAATGAATTATCATTTGGAGCAATTGCCCGAAATATGCAGCTCTGCTGTGTAACTGAACTTAAGAGAAGAATTTTCCTTAAAGAAAAAAAGATGGACAAATTGGAATCGTCAATTCTGATCGAACAAATACCTCTTAGAATTCACAATTAGAATCAATCAAGGATCAATTCAGAAATAAATTGTTAAATTGATTAGTTAGATTTTTTTGCAAGTGGTGACCTCATAAAAATGTAAATTCTGCCTTTTTTTGTTTGCTTTCAAAATGAAATTTACCCGCCGTAATGAGCGATTTTTTTAAATAGGAATTTGAAAAGAACATATTTATCAGCAGTACTGTGGATACAAAAAAAGTGTCTCAGCCACCACTATTTTCACACGCGTGGTATTTTCACGTGTAACCTTGCACTACCCGGTTTGTCAGCGCCGTTCGCTTTCGTTGGTAGAGTCGGTTTAGTGTGACGTTTTTAATTTTTGCCTTTTGCCGTGGGCGTTGTTCCAAAGCCCACGACTCCGGCCTCAGAGCAGTGGCACCGGCTGGTTCTACGCGACGGCCGCGTGGATCAGACCGCCGGAGACTTTTCCGAATTCCAGAAGCTGCACCGCACGGCGTGGGGGCCCATCTCGTCGACGCTCCGCGGCATGGAGGGCCTGCTCGCCAACGCCGCTAACGCCGCTGCCGCCTCCACACCCTCTTTGTCTTCATCATTTCCGCCGCCGTTGCCTGCCTCGCGAGCCGGTCTGGTGGCGGTGCTGCGCGGGGAGCGCGTGGCCCAGGTCCGTGTTATTACTGTTGACAAAAAAACCCAGAGCTACAACTGAAAGCCATTGCTTATTTTTTTACGGCAGATTTTGACAGTGATCGTAGCGCCTTGTCGTGCATTCGTGTTCGTATACGGAACAGTGTTACAGCGTACCGAGCAACAGTTACAACAATTACAATGCATGGATACAGCGCTATAGTTACCGTTATTATTTTGTTGCTGACCACTTGTACCACATTTTAAACTGATCAAACGTCGGCTTGATCCCCAACCGTTTAGGTTTTCACAAAACCTTCAAATAGCCGTCGGTGAAATCTGAGCATTCCATTAACGGGCACTAGAATGAGGACGAGATGGAAATTTTGGCAGAACTCTGGTAGAAAGGGGAAGTGATCGTTCAAGCTGTGAAGGGTTCGAGATGGGAACTAGAACATTCTCGAGTGGCGTGGGCCCACACGCCTCACAGTCAGGTTTAACTGCACTCTGTCATATCCGAGGTCTCATAACTACCGTCGAACAAATGCATTCAGGTAGGCCTACAGACCCTTTATCATGCCTACATCAAACCGTTTAACAGTGCACAGAGCTAGAACCTCCGATTAGCACAGTTGGCTATGTATAGTGTGAAAGAGTTCAGACAGATAAATATTCGTCGGTGAGAACTAGAACTGGCGAAATATTCGGAACGAGCATTGAGGTGGTTGCTTATCTCCTGTTTACAGCCCTGACCCAGCGGTGGAAATTCCACGATCCTATTGTGGGGGCAAGTCTATCACAGAACTACTGCAGAGCTGACCACATTTATTAACCTCCGAAGAGATGATTGGCTGGGTAAAAAAAACATGAACCTAAACTACCAAAGATTTGTCCATGAAGCCATCCAGATATACAAACATAGACACAACTTCAACCGAGAGGATGGTTTTAAATTGAGCAATTATTGGAAAGATGTCATCAACCAAGTCAAACTTCAGCTGCCTTATAATTCTACAGCCATTTCCATTTCTTCCAGTTGGCTGCGCTCATTTTCGACAGCCGCTCGCCATCGCCTCTTCGTCCCCCTAACCCCCTGCAGCATAACAAAAGGCGGCTTAACTTAGCCCCTCCCACGGCCCTTCCTGGCTCCTCCTTCCCCCCCCCCCCCTTAACCTGTATATAATCTCGGGTATCTTAGAGATCTCTTCACTTGATACAGCAATTTTGCTGTGACGGTTTCCACCTGAAGACGGAAGCTTGTGTTGCCTCCGAAACGTCGTGATTTAATTTAGTTGTTTTCATTTATTTTATTTTACCTGCGTGACTTTACCAACAAAAGCAAAGAGTACGTTATATAAACTAAACTAAATAAAATATTTGACCAGGTAAGGCCCACTGAGCTACATAGTTATTTTTCAGAAGCGACCTGGCCACAAATTATAGCTCAACGAAATGTCGTATCACGTGAACATTTCTTGCAGTCAAATACTCGAAACGCATGTTGATTCTAAATGTGGAAGGAAAAACCGGAGAACCCGGAGAAAAATCCACGCAACTACGAGATCGAACCCACAACCTCGTGTATACCCGGCGAGGCAGTTTTATCGTTTTGATTTAAAGCTTTCGTGACTGCAGTAATTCATATTCCTAGCTCTTTCGGTAAAGTCACGTTGAAGAGAAACAATAAAATAATAAAATATATAACAATAAAAATTCTCACGACGTTTCGACCATAACACAAACGGTCGTCATCAGGTGTGTCGGTTTGCATTAATTTTTTTATTTTTAAACGGTGTATTTATTTATAAAAAAACGTCAGCGCCACGCGCAGCGATTTGGCAGTTTATTTAGAAGGACTAGTCCATCTATGTTCTGAAAAGAGGAGGGGGAGACGAAAAATTAATGTATGCTGTCTGAAAGCCACTCTAAGTGTGAACAATCAATTAAAACCTGTCATGACATTGACTTTTCCAAGACAGAGGTTATTTGTAAGCCATCTGGCTACCATGAGAGATTCGTTCATGAGGCTATCCACATATACAAGCACAGAGACAATTTCAACCGAGAAGATGGATTCTGGCTTAGCAATCATTGGAAAGATTTGATAAACCATTTCAGGTCTTAATTGATTGTTCACGCTTACAGTGGCTTTCAGACAGCATACATACATTTTTAGTCTCCCCCCTCCTATTTTCAGAACATAGATGGACTAGTCCTTCTAAATAAACTGCCAATTCGCTGCGCGTGGCACTGACGTTTTTTATAAATAAATACACCGTTCAAAAATTAATTAATTAATGCGCACCGACACACCTGATGACGACCGTTTGTGTTATGGTCGAAACGTCGTGAGAATTTTTATTGTTTTAGATATATTTTGTTATTTTATTGTTTCCCTTCAACGTGACTTTACCGAAAGAGCTAAGAATATAGTTTTATCGTTTTTATTAGAACCGAGGCTGAATTGTTGCAAATGGCGTGGCATGTAGAATTGCACCTGGAACCAATTATTTCAGAACTGTAATAACAACACCGTCCGCCCAGCTGACGGTGGCACGCCCAGCCTAACGCCACAGAGGGAGCAAATAGTTTCCACTGTGATACAAAGTCACTCCTTTCAAGAAACGAAGGTGATTGCAAAAAATGTATATAACAAAAATAATAATTACCTATTTACTCACAATTTTTTTATATCCATGAAAATAATCTCAAATATACTTTGTGACATTCCATAAAGGGTAAAGGCGTAGCCCTGCAATTGCCTGCTCACACCACTGCTGGCAGAAGCAGCTTTGACAGATACCCCCTCAGAGATTGCCCCCTCTGAGGGGGTATCTGTCCTACTCTTCCACACTGACCTGATGCCTCGGAAGAGGTGGGGAAGCACCCACACTTTACCCTACCAAATGTGACCTGCCAGTCAACTGAGCATGGTGTACCCATGAATACTGCTGCATGGACGGAGGCGAGGATTTAAGCCACTTGCCCATCGTTTAAACTGAGGGGAGATTGAACTGACGACAACCTCCTCTCGATTGTAATTCCATTGTGCTAACCATTAACACCAGGGAAGCATCATCGATGACATACAATGGCTGTCGACGTTTTTTTTTGGTGTGGGTGGGCAACTGCCCCTATTGACTCACCCACCCCCCATCTCTCCCCCAACCTGGGTGCACTTCTGCCAGGTGGCACAGGAGCTGGAGCTGGGGCTGCAGAGGCGCAGGGTGACGGAGCGTGATCTGCTGTTCGCGGCCGAAAATCCGGACTCACTCTTGCCCCTGCTGGGGCGAGGGTTCAGGTGACAGCTCGGTGTCTCTCTCCTGGTCACGACGAACTTATTCACCGCCAGCCAAACGACTGTGATTCAGAGCATGCTCTTGCAAATTCTGGATATGTAAAAGGGGATAAAAATATATATACAGGGACTCGTCTACTTATCAACGAGTTCCGCAGGTCTGTTCGTAAGTCGATTTGATTGTAAGTTCAACTTTACTTCCGTCGATCACAAACACGTTGTATGGTGTGTACACTAAACACGGGGAATGGCTTTAAAAGTTATATAATCTCCCGTAGATGCCACTGGTTCTTCATGTTCTGCATCTATTGTGCGGCGGTTGAACTTAGGACTCTCGGTCCGAACGAGCGACTGGACATTCGGACAGTTTTGTTTGTATCCCTGAAAGTTGGTGTAAGTCGAATGCTCGTAAGTAGAGGAGTCCCTGTATAATAATTGTTTACTCATTTATTTTGTGGTGTGATTTGTTTTGTAGAGTTCGTCAATAAAGGTGTTTATTTGTTAGTTTCGAACGAACACGTCACGGATAAAAGCGCTCACATTTCGAAGTCTTTCGTGTCAGGTCAAACTGTAGTCTGTCAATGAAAACGTAAAAAAAATGTTTTTTTTATAATAAAACATTTTAAAGAGTGTCGTTCATGCAAAACTGCATCGCTATAGAGGACAACAGCAATAAAAAGAGATTAAAATTAATAAACGACATTTGGTTTTATAACCAAACATTATCAACTCAAATTAAGCATTCAGTTATTGATTCATGTTCCTTGACTTCGAAGAAAGAACAAAAAACACCCAATAATGATATATTATTTATTTCTTAACCAAAATAGAAATACCTTTAGTGAAAAAAAACATCAATTCACTTAATATTCTCGATTCAAGACAAGCTCCCGAAAACGTTCTCAATTCAAGGCAAATGCTTTCGTGTTCTCGTCCGCGACACTATCATCGCTCTCTTAGCAGCTGTCTGCTTCGTGTCGTAGACCTTTGGCCTGCGGTCAGCGGCTGCAGTGAAAGAATAATAATTGAACGCCGATAAATTTATTCGTTCAAAAAAAAAACTCAGGAGTCTTTTCACAGAACGGCCCCTAAGAGCCTGACGTTCATTATAGTTTCCGAAAGCCGGCGAAGGCTCTGCAATGTCTTATCAGCCCGCGCAGGTGAATAAAATAAATACAAATGACCAAACTCATTGCTATACACATTAATTTCCTTTAAAAAAAGTGTGAATACGGTATCATCGTAAACAAAGCGTTGTTTGGTTATCGATTCCCATGGGAGGCGACGCCAAAGGTCACGGCATTGTTTACTCGGAGGCTGAAGATGCTTTTAATCAGAGCTGGGAGCTTCGGAAATTAATCTGCGTTATTTGGCTTTAAAAAAAAAAAACTTCCATCCTTGTTTTCATTAACAAAGCACGAATCGGTTATCATCTATGCAAACAACAGAATGTGCATTAACGAAAAATTACAATTACAAGATCTAATTGCTGTAACCTTGTTATGCTTGTTAAAATGTTTCCATACAGCACACAATAATAGGGCCTTTATTTGTCAGACACTGAGCGACAAAACTTATGAACCGCTAAAAAAATTAAAATGTTGGCTTGCCCACACCGATTCCCTCATGTAGATATGTATTTGCATTTTCTACTGAAAATGTACACATGCTTTGGGCAACCCTTTGATTAACTTGGATGGATTTCAGTAGGGTAATATCCTAAAGTGCAACAGAGTTTTACGTGTTAAACTGACAGTTTTATACTCTGGGTTATAGTTTGAATCGCATCACGATTACAAGAGTCATCGTGTCCTGTCATTATGGACAGACAGAGCCCAATCGCATGAACTGCTTTCGGCGCTAATAACCCATGTCTTCGTTGGAAAGCGTCAATAACGAACAAAAGAAACCGGCGATACATGAGAAGTCGAATGTTTCTCAGAGCAAGTCTTGGATATTCAGGGAGGCATTCCTGGGTAAAGTAGATTTTTATCGGTATATTTAGCAATTTAAATGTTATGACGTAATGTGCCTCTGCAGTACACTTGGTATTGCTCACGATAAGGACTGCGTGTATCGAAAAAGAGACGCGTGCTTTGCGGCCTTACTTGCAGAGAATTCAGAGCGAACACAACACATTTCCACAACGTGCGTCCGTGTGTATATATACACGGATATATATATATTTATCTTCTCTCGGCATCTGCTCGCTGTCGCCATTCCCTCCAGGAGCCCGGGCGGGCACGACCGGGCGGCCACGCGCATCCAGGCGAGCTGGCGCGCATTCCTCGCTCGCCGTCACTTCGAGCGCCACCGGCGTCGGCGCTGGGCGGCCGGTGTGGTCGCCGTCGCGTGGATGCTGCGTGTGCAGCGCGGCCGCGTCCGCCGCTCGCTCGCTCAGAGGCGGCAAGCGCAGCTCGAGAACTTCCGCACGCGCGCGCAGGTGCGACACACACGTGCGGGCCCGCGGACAGGTGCGACACACATGTATGTGTTTGCGGACAGGTGCGACACACACGTACGTGCGCGCGGGGACAGGTGCCACACACACGTACGTGCATGTGGATAGACGTGACACGCGCATGTGGACAGGTGCGATGCACGCACGCACGCGTGGACAGGTGCGACACCCACATACGGGAGGCGCCCACGATGTTACAGAAACACACTTGTGGTGCTTGGACAACTGCAAGAATTCTTCCACGGGTGCAAAAATCGCACGCCCTTTTACCCAGTAGAGACTCGCTTGAGTCTTAAGATTCGTCCTCCCCCCCCCTTCCCCAGGGTTCCGCTGCATTGACATGAGTGGTAAATTGCATTCACAAGTGTTCTTGGGCCTTTCGGTAAAGTCACGTAGATAGGTTCAAAGAAAATAACCAAAAAATAACAAAAAAAATACGTTTCGATCGCAGTGCAAAAAGACGACCGCTTGTGTTGCGATCAAAACGTCGTAGTTTTTTTTGTTATTTTCTGTTATTTTCTTTGAACCTATCCACGTGACTTTACCGAAAGACCCAAGAACATGAATTCCCGCAGTCACGAAAGCTTTAAGTCAAGATGCATTCACAAGTGTTTGGCTTCATATGGGAGGACACCGGATCGCCCAGAGAAAAGCCACCGTGCATGTCCAGGTGACGGATACGCACTTGCGAACGGACCCAGGTGCTCCGGACGGTTTTTACAGTCAGGTGACACTGATCACCGATCCGGTTTTTAGGTGGGGGGAGGCTACAGACTCTGCTTCGGGTTTTCTCGTCTCGGGGCGGCACTTACAGGTGGATCGGTTGATGACTGTCGTGGGCCTGTGACGATTCGCCCTCGCTCACGGATTATTGCGTAGCATGGTTGTGCGTTCAGCTCCAGAAATTGATTCTCTTTTTGGAATATTACGCTGAATTGAATGCTTTCACTGGCTTGTGGGGATGCACGGATGCATAGCATACCACGTAAAATCACAATATAGAGCCCTTTTGTCAATCACATACAACTGTTTCTGTTAATGTGGGCGCTGTCTCCTTGCTTTAAGGGTTTTCTCCTGACACTTCAGATCCATCAATGTTGACAAAACAAAAAAATATAATTGACCAGTTACCACTTACAGGACTGACTTGAAGACTTAGACGAAACTATCGTTATCATAATTGCGGTTACTATTTATATACAGGTGTAACACCAGCCTCCTTAACATCTCTTTTTTTTAATTGGTATACATTTTTTTAAAGTCTCATCAATATCATTAACATTGATTTGCTTTCACAGCAAACCAAATTGTAATGAACGTAATGATTTATTTAGCAAAATTACAGTTGCGTTCTACATATTTACTTTTTTTTTCCAACATAGTGCGGCTCGGTAAAGCTGCATCAGCGGGTTTCATTTTTATTCATATTATTATTTCTCTCCCCCTTTTGTTATTATTTTATTGAAATTATAAACACTGCAATGTCCTTCTCTGCCCGTCGTCGGGCCATTCATTCGCTTTCCCAGCCCCCCCCCCACCTCTCTCTCTACCCTTTTCCAATTTCTATCGCGTGTGCCTTGCTTCTGCCCCCCCCCTTCCCTTTTTCATTTTAATACCGTGCCCTGATGATATCTGGGTTCAAAGCTTGACTGCGCAGACCTAATTGCATGCGCCATACCATTAGCACAAATACGGAAATAAGTGCGGTGAATGCATTTAACGGTAAATGAAGTACCATTAAACGTAATTGAAGAAACATTTACTTACGCCATCCACTTTAATGTTAAACAATAAATTGTGCGGCTTTTTTGTGGAGCAATGATAATTATGCTACAATAATAGAAAATTCCATTGGTGTTTCGTTATAATGCTTTAGCGCTGTACATTAAAGTGGCTTTTTTTTTAAACGATATGTATCTGCCTAATGCGAATGGCCCCATCACCCCAGAAATGTTTTTTTTGCGAAATCGTCCTAATGCGATGCGATGTGCGCGTGGAGCGGCGATGGGAGGGTAGTGGGTGGAGGTGGGAGGCATGGAGTGGGGGAATGCACGCATAATAGAGGTTTTGTTTGATCCATTAGGTCGCGGTAAACAGTTTGCGTTCCTTACAAACGGCACGTGGGGGGCCTTCGGCTACAAGCGTACCCCGGCTCCTTTCATCGCAACCACACGAGTCAGAAGTGGCAGGAATTACATTGCGCGTGGTGTACGTACGACGGACGGCAAAAAGGCGGAATCGCCTTCGACGATAGCTAGAGCGGGCGGGAGCGGGCGGGGGCGGGGGGGGAAATACCTAACAATAAGCAAAGGATCGCGGAGCTATCGACGTTTTCCTCTTTTTTTTTACTTGTGGTGTCTCGCGCGAGTCAATACCACTCCTTGCGTATGAATGATTAATGGGCACGCGCATTCGTTTGCAGAGCCCCGCTTGATCGCTCGACAAACATCTCGGGCACTTCCGGCTCTCGTACTCCTTCGGCACGCACAGCATCATTAGATAATAATGATTATGTAATCCCAAAGGGCGACGCGGGTTTGCTCGTAAATTGTGTGCGCCGTCTGGCCGGACGCCGCCTCGTACACGCGCGCGCGCGTGCGCTGCCCCGGATGGCTTGTTGTGTTGTTTTGTTTAAAGCACATTAGCGGCCGAACCCGCGCGCTCTCCTGAACATGACAAATGTTTTGTTACGCAGTTGTCGTCGGCGTCACGGGCACGGTGACCCCCTGCCGCGTGACGTCCCCACGTAATTGTTGTTTCGTTTACGGCAAAATGGGAATGCTCGCCTGTGCCACGGCGCGGTGTCACCTTCTTTCCCCCGAAGATGAATGGAGTTTTAATTTGGTTTTCGCGGAGGAGAGAGGGAGGGGGGGGGGGGATGAGGTTATTCCTCCGGCTTGTTTAGGCTTCTCCCGGTTGCAGCGCGGCGGTGACATTAATTAGTGCTCACCGCTTCCCCGCTGGTTTTTTTTCCGCCGTGTTTTTAATTCCCGTCCTGTTAATTATACCCTCTCCTCTCCGTTATCACCGCCGTCGCCATCGCACGCCTCTAATTAAATTAATTGTCGCAGTGCTGGAGCGTGTGATTAAATTAATTAGGGTAATTTACGCGAGCGCACCGCGCGTTAGAGGCCGCGGCTTCGACTTTGGCGTGGGAGACGTTTTCCTCCTCGCAAGCCCGGACCGCGCGCGCGCGAGCAGGTCAAAGGTTCTGTTTTGCAATGTAAACACAATCGTCCCCGTGCACAATAACACGCCGCTTTGTTAATTAAATTAAGATCTATATATATATTTTTTGGAGGGGAGGGGGGAGCTCGCTCGCTTCGCTCTCCCGTTGCCGAACCGCACCGCACGCCACCCGCCCGCCCGCTCGCTCGCTCGCTCGCCCCGGCGATCAGCACCCGCGCGTTTCGCCCAACAATGCTTTTGTTTCGCTCGGGTTTTATTTGTTCTGTGCAGATGGAGGGTAATTAATTGACCCCCCCCTTTTAAAATCGCCAATCTGCCGCTCTGTTTTTTACAAAACTGATTATGCATTTAATTTTAACAGCTGGCTGACCAAAAAAAGATGACACCGCGGTCATTAAGGATTCCACTCTCGCGAAAACCTGATCTTTTGAAATTGCAAAGGAGCGGTGGCCCATTTGCCTTCTCGCGACAGTGTGCGTTTGTATAAGGGTTAATTGACGATTCAAAGAGAATACATTTATATTAAAAATATATACTTTTTTATTTACAAATTAACAAATAGTTCGCTAAACGAATAACCCATGATATGACGAAACATACAAACCCCCCTGTACGTGGTTATGAAATGGAATATCATTGGAACAAAGAGCTACATTTTTTTGCCAGTACACAAAGAAATACATTACAGACTCGAATGGCCCTGTTACACAGTCGCTATTATCTACGAGTAAAATAAAGAACAGTTAATCCACTAATCATACATTTTAATGTTTAATTGTCCCCATGCTCAAATGAGCTTTGGGTGACGCTCAGCACTGTTGGTGGTTCTGAGCAAGCAAGCGGTGGAAGTTCCACATTGTTATCATGGGAACAGGTTCATCCATACAAAACAGCGAGTCACTGTTGAACTGATGATTCATGGAGCCTGCTGCTACCCCCGCCCCTACCGAGCTATATCTTTGCGCAATAATGATCATCGACTACACCCCGGCCCTTTCGCCAACGTGTACTCACCGGTGTGGTGAAGTATGGTCAAGCAAACCCCATGATGAATGATACAGCATGGGGAGGTCTTCATCCAGCAGTGCATTGACTCAGGGCTCAATTAGAATGCTCTACATATGTTCGAGGAATAGCCTTACGTTTGTGATTTTTTTTTTATAGGATCAAATCTCACCGCATAGGGAGACTCTGAGGGTTGCTTGACATCTCGCAGTGTGTCGATCGTGATGCGGGGATGTGGCATCATGAGCTCACTGTTGGGGGGAAACAAAAAAAAACCTCAAGTCGCCAAGAGAGCAAAGGAACACTGCAATGGCCAGCTGAACTACAGGCCATATCTGTATGATTGGGCCATGATACAAAAGGTGACCCATTTATAGGTACCCCACGAATATGATGTGGAGAAATTAGTGAGAGAGAAAATATTTGAATTCAAATCTTTGGCGTCTCCACCACCAACGATTTCACCTTGCTTCGCGGTGTCTGCGCGAGACAAAGAAGTAATCGCTTTTCACAAATATCATTCACCCGTTGCAAATCACGTTAAAGGGGGCATTCGAAATCACTGGGAGTTTCTACAAACGGCAGACCCTCTATAAGTATACAACTTGTCAATAAATCAGTGGTTTGCATAAACGTGTTTCAAAATAAATTTCACGGTTTTTCTTTAACACTTCAGATTCACTAGAATTATAAAGCAATGTAGCATATGCGTACGTATCTTCCTGTGATTATCGCGGATTTACTGCTCGTAGCCAAGAATGATAGCGCGTGCTTGCACATGCCTCTTATACAGTCCTTTGCGCGAGGGTTGTTGGATCACACAGATTTGTGAAATTCACAAAGACGCTGGGGCTATGTAGTGACCAGCAGATGGCAGCACAGCAAGCGGATTCTTGCATTCTGTGTGGGGCGTTATTATCTCCTTGTATCTATGCCTTTTTTCTGGGTAATTGAGTTTCCTTCCACTTGAAGCCAGACACTCATTAATGGAATTGGCCAAACATCTGAAATGCAGGCACTATGGTGGCGGGGAGGTGTTTTCTCCCTTGCCTGGTACACAGGAGGTCGTGGGTTGGATCCCGGACCCTGAAGATGTGGGTATGTTTGAAGTTCACGTGTTCTCTCCCAGTAGTGGTTATGTGGATTTTCCTAAGGGTCCTCCAGTTTTGCTCTCCAGTTTTGCACGCCACATTTAGAAACATGCGTTTAGATTAATTAATTAATTAATTGGCTAGGACTATTAATTTCCACATGCCACTTCGTTGAGCTATCATTTTTTACCAGGTCGCTTGTGAAACAGAGCTGATAGCTCAGTGGGCTTTACCTGTTTAAATAAAGTAGATAGCGGGGAAAAGCCCTATTATTGTATTTTGGTACTGGCAAAGGAGGCCTCATGATGTAAATAAAGTAGTTTAGTTTATATAAAAAATATATAATTTTGTGAGGATTTCCTTGGTAAATAAAGGATATTATTCGTTTTGTTTAAATGTTTATTTTCTGGAATTTGCATTGAGACCTGTTTTTTTTTCTTTCGGCATTGCACAAAGCCACATGAGGTCGCGTCTCGTTTCTAGATCGTGAGATCAAGGGCGACACTAAACAAATTATAACACTTTCTGTAGCAGACAGCAAAGTGAGTGCAGACTGGAAACAAATAATAATCATAATAATCATAATACTACATGCACAACGTTATTTCTAGACAGCAGAAGGTGTGATTGCAATCATAGGATCGGTCCCATCGCTTGATGAGTCAAAATTGTGGCAATATTATTTGAGTTGTGATTATTGCATGAAGTGGCTAATGTCAACTGTTTGTCCGTTCCACCCATGTCTCATTTCAGTATCTCGCAGAAAACTGGAAACGCATCCAGAGTTCAAGAAGGACCATCATCCACATCCCATCGCTGGGTGAGAGGCCATGGCCTGTCCCTCTATACTCCCCGCCCTGGACTGCGATTGCGGTGGGGCTTTGTGGGGCTCCGCAGTGATGTCGCGTCAGAGGAACGAAATGAGCCCCCTCCCTGTTCAATTTCCACCCTTTCCGTAACCTGTCGCCAGGGCCCCTATGGCCTTCTGGGGCCTGGTAGAGTTGCGTGGCCTGCACACTTGATAACTACGTGACAGAAGCACCGTGAAAAGGTAGAATTTAGCAGAACACCCAAAGCTTCTTGCCAGGAAGGCCGTGTTAATTTTTGTAGGTAGAGGTCATCATGGCTTTCTTCCTGGTGCCAGATCTTGTATGTGTTGGGCCTGCATGATTGGTATTGTACAGCATCACACCGTCTGGCATTAGGTAATTTTGTAATGAAGCCCATTTAGGAAATCTCCTTTGGAATGGTATTGCATTATTTTTAATGCAAGTAATTAACCCTTATGTGATGCTGAACCATACAATTAAGGTTAGAGAAACGGATATTGCCACATAGAGAGCATTATAATACGATTGTGTTAGCTTTAATAGAGCGTTATGAAAGCCAATGGAGATCATTAAGAAACAATGGATTTAGCATTTTTGTAGGTATTTGCCTTTTTTGTAGTTACCCCTCTTTTCTGTGTACTTCAGTTTTGAACTGTCCCTAAATAAAAAAATGAGTCTCGAAGCATTTGCACGTGATTAAAAGAAGACATCGGTCAATAAATTAGATGGATAAGTAGGAGGATATTTTGGCAGTGAACATATTCATTAAATTAATTGGCCACTTTGTACTTAAGATCTTTAAAAAAAACACATCAGTCGCAAGTAGGGCTGAACGATAGCAAATCACAAAGGCTGCGATTTTTTGCGATTTGAAAAGTCCTATTACTTTCTTATTGGAATTGGTTTATTATTTTATTATTATAACTTTATTTATTTAACTTAATAATTGTTCTATGTTTGCTTGTTCTATTTCAATTAAAACATTTTATTAAATACACGTTGGAAGCAATTAATATCTTTTAAGTTCTCTAGAATATATATAGAGCAGTTCATATGTTGATGGTATCACGTGGTAATGCTCCATCACATGTTTTAAATCGATTACACAGTGAATATTGAGCTCAAGCTTGACTGAAAAAAATGCAATCTCAAATCAAATCGCAATCACGATATCTGTCAGAAAAATCGCAATTAAATATTTTCCTCAAATCGTTCAGCCCTAGTCGCAAGCAAGTCATTTGCTAATATAACCTTTTGAAACCAATGGATCGCTATTAGAGAACGCATGCAATTGGATATATTATGTTGACTGTGGGGAAAAGTGGCTGTGTTTAACAAGTAGGCTTTCGCGACTAATATTATCCGTAATATATTTTATTTTGGGTTAGATCGCGTGAATATAACTGTGTCGTTAAACCCGCCACCACCCGACACAGCCAATTAGTAAGGTTTGTCACGTAAACAAAACGTGTCAATTAGTTACTAGCTCAGCACACTAGTTCAGCTGGAGAGTAAGCTCACAGCATTTACAATTCGAGCACAACGTTTCGCTGGTAATTACAGCCAGCCTCATCAGGCGACAGCAAAGTTCGTGGGGAATCCTCCCTGTTTCGGTCGTAAGTGGGTGGACAACATCCCCGGGGGGATAGACGACGGCCAGACGGCAAAGACTCATGGCAGAGTGTGGGCACTCGACGGATTCTCGTTTCGCGGGACCACGTGAGATGGCCACGGCTCTGGCAGAACCTCCATCCAGCAGTGGATTGATCATGGCCGCCGATGATGCAACCCTCGCCGTTCACTAGCAGCCACATTTCTCAAACCGTTGCTCATTAAAAAAAAACATTCTCGCTTCAACTTTTTTGTTAACTTGGCCGCTGCGAGTGTTAGAGGCACTCGGCGCGGGGGTGAAAAGATAATGACGGCGCGGCGTTTAAAAAAATAAAAACGGGGGAGTGGATAACTCGCGGCAGAAAAAAAACAAACCTAAAAACTAAAAGCCTGGTTAATGCCGAATGACCTCCCACAGGCCTAATTGCCGTGGCCGCCGCCGGATTATCATTTGCCCGCACTTCGCGCTCCGGTTAGTTATTACAGAGAGGCTCCTCTTTTGGCCGGGGTCCCTGCGAGCGCCGCGCCGGCCGGCCGCATAATGCAGCACCCTGCGCGGCGGCCCGTAATGGGCTACACGCCACGCGGCTTTAAAAATCCTCCGACAACATCATTACCTTCCCTGTCTCCTCACCGAGCCATTACCCCGCAGCCCCGGAATGGAGGCAATCTGCCGTCATTTAAAGTCGCGCTGAGCACGCCGCGCCGTGGCTTGAGCGCGGAATGAGCTTTTAACAATAAGGGGCCCGATTTATTTTGTGTTTCGTAAATCCGGGGCAGCGATTACCCGTGCCCCATTTACCAAAAACTGGAATGTGCGGTTATTTATTTATCTATTCGACGCCTTCGTTCGTTTTATCATTATTATTTCATGTTGTCGTTCGGTTTTTAATTTCCACACATCTCTCTCTCTCTCTCTGTGTTTGTTGTTTTTGCCACTAAGCGCTGTTGTGGGCTGTGCGTGAAGCGGCGCACCTCGCTAACGATCATCGCGGCTGTCGTTGGATGTGACTGGCACAGTCTCTAATGTCCTGCTGTAATTATGCCTTCTTTTTTTAATTTTGGCTGGAAAAAACAGAATTTAGCGACGAGAAGCTGGATAATCATCAGCACTCGGGCTCCGATCGCCCGGTTATGAAAGCGTTAAGATGACGGCTGCGCTGTTCGGGAACAATGTGCTCGTACTTTGCCAATTGCGTGACCCCAATGCTAATGCGGACGCTGTTTGGGCCCATTTGTAATAATGAGCCACAACAGGAGAAGAGGCGAAGCAGGCAAGGCCCCTACACTCAAATAAATATCGTGTATGAACTCAAAGGGAATCTTTAACCGTGATTGCTTGTAATAGAAACTGTTTGTCAAAGTAATTGCGGTATATATATGAGATATACATTTTAATTTTATGCTCACATATATTATACAGGTATCCTGTATATATAGCTTGTAATCCTTATATGTATTATGTGCATGTATGTGTGTGTTTTGTTTTTATAGCAAACAGCCCAGTGACCCAATTTCGATTCCCGCTCATGACCAAATAACGGTGCCGAATATCTCAACTGGTTCTGGGCCTCCCCCAGGTCGACTCAGCCTTCATTGAGTACCTGGGGTGGCGTATAAACATCAGCACTGGGGGTACAAAGATGGCCTGGCATGGTGCTGGCCAGCCACCTCCTTGGGTGCGATGCTGGCCTTAATAGTTGCTCGCTAACAACACCTGTCCTAACATTCTGTTATATAGCAGACAGAACATTATTTAACAGGGAAGCCACCCATGCACAGGAGTATATAGTGGTCGCTAAGCCATCATTTGACCATTTCGAATAGTCCATCAGGTGTCGCAATCCATTGCCCATAGGCAGGCCTCATGGATAGGCCAGCCCGCAGGGTTTTATGCTGTGTAGATTTATTTCGTTATACGTATGTGTATTATAATAAGATGAGTAGTCAGAAACCTTTGAGAATGGGACACTGAATGTATGCTCTTGCGCGTGCCATATATTTAATCTCTTTAAATTATTATTTCAATCATGAATTTGGTGGGGGCTGTTTTTTCAAGTACACAATTAACAAGTGGAGATGGGAACCTTGAAATAAGTATCATTTAGGTTGTCCTGACATTTTAACATCTCAATCTAAAACCCTTTTCGACTTACCTACAAATTAAAAATAACATACGTACAAGTGCGTATATGTGTACAGACATACGGTGGCACTAAGCACACTGCTTATCCCTTTGTGTTGGGGCACACACCAATGAAATTTAAAATAAGGTACCCATATAGCGTTCGCCAGTATAGATAGAAAGTATGCCCCCCTTTAATGTCTTAAAATTGGACTTACCCAATTGGCTGCCCCCCACTTCCACTCATAGTGGAATCCTCTGGGCATCTGTTTCAGTGAAGCAGTAAATTAATCAATTCCTTTATTCAACCAGGTGAGAGCCCATGTGAAACGTGTCTCTGTTGCAAGGCAAACTTCTCGTGTGTGTGTGTATATATGTACACACAAAACAATGATGAAGATCACCTTTTGTAGCCTGACTTTACCGAAAGAACCAAGAATATGAATCCCTGCAGTCACGAAAGCTTCAAATCAAAATTGAACATAACTGTTGGGGCAAATGCTGTTAGTGAGCACCTGTGAAGGTGCGGCATGGCGCATGAGTGGGTTGTGTGGCCAACACCACAGCCTCCCCAACCTAGGTGAGGTCGACGACAATTCCAGATAATCTTTAATGATGTTAGCTGTGGCCGGGTATTGAAATCGGTATTGCAGTGCACTAACCAGTACATCACCGCTCCCCACATGCACACAAAAGAACCCCCTCCCCCCCCTCTCTCCCCCATATAGCCTCTAACAGACTTTTGGGGCAAGTGCTGTTTGCGAGCACCTATGAAGACCGACACGTCACACGCACACACGATGCAACATATGTAGCCTACACGAATGATGTACAAATAGGGCCACGGTATAATTTGTAATGCAGAGAAACATTTCAGTAACCACCGAGTGTATTTTGCTGTGAAGAGAACAAAAGGAAATTCGCTGCCGTATTAAAATGGACGGGATAGGCAAAACATAACATCTGCCAAAATTGGCCTCCTGCCCATTACGACATTATTTATGATTGGACAACTGTGTTGCTAAAACATGATCAATCAACGGCAAATGACTGCGTACCAGTGGCCAGGTGTGTCAGGAGAGGAGTCTGCTTTTCAGACATGGGTAATTAAGCTGGAGCAGGGGTGGTTGAGAAAATGCCGGTTTGCGTTCCCCTTGATCTGCCTTAATTAATCATCTGTACAGATACCTGTAATTACGCGCAATTTGTCAACTATTACGTGGAAAATTGCGCATCTTTTGATCGCGCGAGGACGCGGGAAGCAGCGTAATGATAGAAAATGGGCCCTCAGGAGTTGGAGGGCCGCACAGAGTTGCATCCCCCTCGCTCTCTGCACACGCGCGCGCATTTAAATCGCGGGTAGCCCCCCCCCCCACATCGCCCCCCCCCCGGTATTAGCATGCGAATTTGCCTCGCACAACGAGACCCCGCATTTTGAAGACGACAAATTGCGTCGTGATTTGAAAGCGTCTCGGAAGTGATGGGCACGGCTGTGTGTGGGTGTACGCGTACGAGTGTGTGTATGGGGAGCGGTAGTGTAGCGGTTAGCGCGCTGCGCTGCGACCCGAGTTCGATTCCCGTTCATGGCCAACACCAGTGACGATTATCTTAACCGGTCCTGGGCCTCCCCTAGGTCGACTCAGCCTCAAATGAGTACCTCTCCACTGGGGAGACAAAAGCGGGCGCGCGTGCTGTTGGCTACCCCACCCCCTCGTGTGCCCTGCTGGCCTTCATAGGTGCTCGCTAACAGCACTTGCCCCAAACGTATGCCGAGACTATATGGGGGATCTTTGTATTTGCATGCATACATTCATGTAAAACAGACACGTTCGTATGTCATCACCGCATCATGCGCCGTGCTAGCCTACAGCAGTTTCCCCAAAAGTTCATGTAGGCATTACCGAGGATTTGTTTTTACTTTGTGTGTTCTGACATGTGTCTGTGTGTATGTTCTGTCTGTGCCCTGCAGGTTACTCCAAGCACCTCCGTCGTCGCCTCAAACACTTTGATGTCCTGCAGAACCTGCAGATGGGCCGTCTCTGTGACATCAAAGGTCAGGACGGGGCGACGACGTTGGGACTCGTCGCGCGGGCTTTGTAATGCGAGCAGCTGTCATTAAAATAATTGCGGCACGTTTAATCCACTAAAAAGACACGTTGATAATAATTAAATATATGAAGGGTGTGCAGCGCTTTGTTAATCCACTGCTGGAAGCAGGGCCCCCCCACAACCGCGTCGCACCTCCGATTAGCGCGATTGGCTACGTACGGTGTTGGTCGTGAGGCCTGTTTGACCATTCTTCACCATAATGGTCAGTGTGAGTTGATGAAGTGGTAGGGAGGCCCGAGACTGGTTCCCATATCACTCACTACTGACGTTAGCCATGGCTGTGAATCAGGAATCTAACTCAGATGGAACATGACACCACATGAATCTGCATAGTAATATATTTAACCTTTGGCTGCTTTCTCTTCATGTGGACGTGTGTATGTGTTTCTGTGGGAGCGGTAGTGCAGTGGTTAGCACACTGTGCTACGAATTGATGTGAATACAATTCCCGGCCTCAGTTAGCATTGGCGGTAATGATCTAAATCGTTCGTGGGTCTCCCCTAGGTCGACTCGGCCTTAAATTAGTACTTGGTGCGGTGTGTAAATATCAGCGGTGGGGAGAGAGAAAGGCGACCAGGTGCGGTGCTAGCCAACAAACCCCCTCGTGTGCTTCATTGGTACTTGCTGATGGCAATATTAACGCTATACAGCGAACCGCTGTCTTCACCTGTGTGGCAGATCCCAATGTGGACGTGATCTACGTGAGCCCCGTGCCGCTGAGCGACGAGGTGCTGCACTACTACGAGCGGCTGCTGGGGCTGTCGGCATCCGGAGGGGACGGGACGGGCCGCTACACCATCATCGTCCCTGATGCTGTGGTCCGCTTTCCCGTGAGTTGTTGATGGCTGTTGGATTGCCACTAGTTGTGTGTTGCAATTCACTGCCACCCACCGGTCCCCTGCATAGCGAATCAATGAATCTTCACGGCCGCGTAGGTTCAATTATTCACTGCCGCGTAGGTTCGTTCGCGGTTGTGCTGTGTAGCTCACGATACTGAAACGTCTTAATTTTGAGTCTTCGTGGTCGTAGTCCCCGACGCCACGGGCGACTTTCTTCGCGGGCGATGGATGTGAACTGCCTGCTCTAACGTATGGGATCGGAACATGCCCAGGAAGCATGCGACATTCGTCCAACGTTGGCATGCGGTTAGAACCGTTGGACCGGCGTTGGACCGACGTTGACCCGACGTTGGCCCGACGTTGGCCCGACGTTGGCCCGACGTTTATTGGGTGGACACTGACAAAGAAAATGGAAACGAATGCTCAAACGTGTGCAGCACGGAGAGGAGCACGCTTGGAATGATGGTGAGAGAGACGTAGAGGAATAAGTGGGTTAGAGAACACAAGACAAGTCAGATTGGATGATGGCTCATGGCCCAAGATGACAACTGAGCGGTAGCCAAAGGATGGAACATGCCCAACAGGATATTTATGCAGCAATGAAAATGCAGGTCCTGGGTGGATTGTCACTTTGCAGGTTCGGTATGGGGATGAGATGACATGAGGATGTCTTCATCCAGCAATGGATAGGCAATGGCTGCTGTTGATGATATTAAAGTTCACCTATTGTAGAGGATGAAGCAGATTTTATGCAGCAATGTGTCACTGCTGTGCCAGCAAGTGGTAGATACAGAGGCTCTGCTCCTAATGCTTTCGCAGATAAATTACTACGCACACCATCTCATTAAAAGCAAGAGCTCCTGAAGCCACAAATAAAAAGGTCTGAAGTGTAATGTTTTATCTTACAATTTTTTTACGTTCTCTTCCCAGTATATTTTAACACAGAGGATATTTTTGTCAGTGTAGTTAGAGGCAATCATCTCCATCAGGAATTATAAGATGTAATCTTCTTCCTGCCATGAGTCTGTGTGTCTGTTTGTCCTTCGGCACTCACATTACAATTACATAACCTCTACATCAATCATTATACAAACCTTAAACCAATCATTATAAAACCGTTGAACCAATCGTTCGAAAATTCTTAAACCAATCACTACAAAACCCTCAAACCAATCGCTACAAAACCCCTAAACCGATTGCTACAAAACCCCTAAACCAATTGCTTCAAAATCCCTAAGCCGATTGCTACAAAACCCCTAAACCAATCGCTACAAAACCCCTAAACCGATTGCTACAAAACCCCTAAACTGATTGCTGCAAAACCCCTAAATCAATTGCTACAAAACCCCTAAACCAATTGCTACAAAACACCTAAACCATTCGCTACAAAACCCATAAACCAATCGATACAAAACCCCTAAACCAATTGCTACAAAACCCCTAAACCGATTGCTACAAAACCCCTAAAATGATTGCTACAAAACCCCTAAACCAATCGCTACAAAACCCATAAACCAATCGCTACAAAACCCTAAAAGAATGACTACAAAACCCCTAAACCGATTGCTACAAAACCCCTAAACCGATTGCTACAAAACCCCTAAAATGATTGCTACAAAACCCCTAAACCAATCGCTACAAAACCCCTAAACCAATCGCTACAAAACCCCTAAAAGAATGACTACAAAACCTCTAAACCAATTGCTACAAAACCCCTAAACCAATCGCTACAAAACCCCTAAAAGAATGACTACAAAACCCCTAAACCATTCGCTACAAAACCCTTAAACGAATTGCTACAAAACCCCTAAACTAATTGATACAAAACCCCTAAACCAATTGCTACAAAACCTCTAAACCAATTACTACAAAACCCCTAAACCGATTGCTACAAACCCCTAAACCGATTGCTACAAAACTCTTAAACCAATCGCGACAAAATCCCAAAAATGATCACTGCAAAACCTTTAAACCAACGCTACTATGAACTCCTAATCCAATCATTATAAAGCTCCTCAACCAATCACTATAAAACCTGACATCAATCACTACATAATCTCTAAACCAATCACCTCGAATCCCTAATCTAACCATTATAAAACTCCTAAACCAATCATTATAAAACCCTACACCGATCGCTATAAAACCCCCAGACCAATCACTGCAAACCCCTAAACCAACCGCTACAAACCTCACCGCACAGCTTAACAATACCAGTGCCCAGATCCGCGTAGTTTTTGGTGTATATTTACAATGAAATAGGTCAACAAAGTCTGTTTTTCAATAATATAACGTTTTTATGTGTACCAGCACGATTAGCGCACACGTGTTATACAGTGAGGGAAAAAAAGTATTTGATCCCCTGCTGATTTTGTACATTTGCCCACTGACAAAGAAATGATCAGTCTATAATTTTAATGGTAGGTTTATTTGAACAGTGAGAGACAGAATAACAACAAGAACATCAAGATAAACGCATGTCAAAAATGTTATAAATTGCTTTTCATTTTAATGAGGGAAATAAGTATTTGACCCCCTCTCAATCAGAAAGATTTCTGGCTCCCAGGTGTCTTTTATACAGGTAACGAGCTGAGATTAGGAGCACACTCTTAAAGGGAGTGCTCCTAATCTCAGCTTGTTACCTGTATAAAAGACACCTGTCCACAGAAGCAATCAATCAATCAGATTCCAAACTCTCCACCATGGCCAAGACCAAAGAGCTCTCCAAGGATGTCAGGGACAAGATTGTAGACCTACACAAGGCTGGAATGGGCTACAAGACCATTGCCAAGCAGCTTGGTGAGAAGGTGACAATAGTTGGTGCGATTATTCGCAAATGGAAGAAACACAAAAAAACTCTCAATCTCCCTCGGCCTGGGGCTCCATGCAAGATCTCACCTCATGGAGTTGCAATGACCATGAGAACGGTGAGGAATCAGCCCAGAACTACACGGGAGGATCTTGCCAATGATCTAAAGGCAGCTGGGACTATCGTCACCAAGAAAACTATTGGTAACACACTACGCCGTGAAGGACTGAAATCCTGCAGCGAACGCAAGGTCGCCCTGCTCAAGAAAGCACATATACATGCCCGTCTGAAGTTTGCCAATGAACATCTGAATGATTCAGAGGACAACTGGGTAAAAGTGTTGTGGTCAGATGAGACCAAAATGGAGCTCTTTGGCATCAACTCAACTCGCCGTGTTTGGAGGAGGAGGAATGCTGCCTATGACCCCAAGCACACCGTCCTGGAGTGGCCTAGCCAGTCTCCAGACCTTAATCCCATAGAAAATCTGTGTAGGGAGCTGAAGGTTCGAGTTGCCAAACGTCAGCCTCGAAACCTTAATGACTTGGAGAAGATCTGCTAAGAGGAGTGGGACAAAATCCCTCCTGAGATGTGTGCAAACCTGGTGGCCAACTACAAGAAACGTCTGACCTCTGTGATTGCCAACAAGGGTTTTGCCACCAAGTACTAAGTCATGTTTTCCAGAGGGGTCAAATTCTTATTTCCCTCATTAAAATGCAAATCAATTTATAACATTTTTGACATGCGTTTTTCTGGATTTTTGTTGTTGTTATTCTGTCTCTCATTGTTCAAATAAACCTACCATTAAAATTATAGACTGATCATTTCTTTGTCAGTGGGCAAACGTACAAAATCAGCTGGGGATCAAATACTTTTTTTCCCTCACTGTAACACGAGCGCCTGCGTGTTGCCTGTGCTCATGCCTAACCCGCCCGCGTCTATGTGCGCGTGTTTACATTTCTGCAAGTCTCTTTGTAAGCTTACTGCTGGATGAAGCCCTACCCATGCCATGTAGGTGTTCGGGTGACCATATTTGTGTAACTTTATTGACACCGGGCACAAATTTGGGGCTCTTCTTACTTTTGGGACGATCTTATAATCCTGAGAAATGCGATAAACATCAGTCTCAGACTCCTTCTATAGCGAGGAGGTGTAGAACAAAGCATCGATTTACCAATAAACATGAATTAATCTCACATTACATGCAGCCACTTGTATCTGCAAGAATAAGTATTATTATTATTATTATTTTAGTTTCTATCCACACGATGTCACACCCTACCACACCACCTCGGAAGCAACAGCCCTTCGCTTGGAAGCGAAAACAATTCATCCTTGTTGCTGTACTGCTTGCACGCACCCCCACCCCTCCACCCCCCCAACCCAACCCAACATCTCTGCCACCACCACCACCAACACCACAGCAGCTGCCCCTGTCCCTGGCGAGCCTGCTGGAGTACAGCCCCGGCACGCTGCGGCGCATCCGCGCGCTGGTGAGCGGCCGCGAAGCCTACGTGGTCCCGGGCGGTGCCGGCGAGGCCGACCTGGCGGTGGCGGACGAGCTGGGCTTACCCGCGCTGGCGCCGGAGCCCACCGTCGCCCGCCTCTGTGGCTCCAAGTCAGAGGCCCGACGCATCTTCTCCAGCGCCGGCGTGGCCACGCCGCCCGGCGAGGAGCACATCCGGTCGATGCCGCAGGTGAGGGCGGATGAGCGAGCGGGTGGCCGAGCGGAGGAGCGGGCTGGCGGGCCCGGTTTATGATCGTTCATAAACAAATGCGTTGCAAATTTCACGGGATTTCTGTGTAACGTGGAAAAATAGTGTTGAGGAAGGCATTGGGTAAGCGATCTTGATTGCCCTGCCCTACCTACGATGTTAAGATCCCTGCCTAATATGGAATGTGGTGTTGCGAGGGAGGCCGGCATGGGATGGGATGGAGGGAGCTTGAGCCATGGACCTGCACTTGGGCAGAGAACGTTAGAAGACACGGAGAGAGTGTGCCTGAATGCAGCCGCATCTCTAGACACTGTACATAGTAGTTGGATAGATGTAGTATATATATCTTTTTTTCTTCAAGGGAAAAACCAGCTACTGAGAGACAGCGGCAAAAATGAATATCTTGAGTCTGGAATTTAACAGGGGCAGGGAGCAGACAGCACAAATGGCTAGGGGGAAAGTAGTTCCAAACCACGCGGACAGCAAAGGAGAACGAGTGAACTCACACTGATGGGAACGTCGACTGCTGGCGGCTTTAGCAGGAAGCCCGTGGTTGCAGGAGCAGGGGGTACGTCGAGTAGAGCAGTGTGAGATGAGATGGTAGAGGCAGGAGAGTGCGTGGAGGGAAGTAGAAATGAGAAGGATGAGGTAGGCAGGGGCGAGTCCTTGGTTGCATTTTGAAGATGGTGAGGATGATCTTTAAATTGATCTGGGATTGTATTGGGAGCTAGTGGAGAGATTGGAGGATTGTGCCAATCTCATCCCATTTACGGGTACAGGTGAGCAGTCTGGTCATGACATTTTGGACCCTCATGCCGTGTTGACCGTAGGGGTTGTTTGACCATACTTCACCAAACCAATCAGTGTGGGTTTGTGAAGATGGTGGTTCAGTGGGATCTCAACCATGACGTTAGTCACAGTCGGGAATCGAACTCGGATTGCCAGGTTCGTCGTGCAGCAGAGCGCTCAATCCCTGTGCCGCCGTTCTTCTACCCCACCGGATTATTACTACAGTGTAATCACTGTTAATTAGTGAGGGCGTTTACAGTTTGCGGAAATCATGCGCACAGCGGGGTTTCCAGGCGTCCATATATTTGCAGAGAATTGGAAAAAAGCGAGGGCAACTTGACTCCCGCTCAAGTGGCGTCAACGAGCGTTCAGGTCATAAATTCCGCATCCTCGTTTGCACACGGTGGGGGGGGGGGGGGGGGGGGGGGGTGCAGCGCTGTACACGGTGCTCCATTCCTTACGCTAATATATTTTAAAAAAATCTGGTCTGTTATTGCAATTATTTGACAACAAAGAAAGACTTAGAAAATCGGCAACCCCCGGCAAACGGCACGGTCGGATTGCGAAATGAAAATGAAAAGTTTGAAGGCGCATTCGATGTGATCGACCACGGGAAAGTTGAGTCGGTGGCCGACGTGAGTTAAAGCCATTTTGATTTCACCATTTGCACGCACGACTGGGGCAACCATTTACTTACCGAGGGCCGAAAAGGACTTGAAAATACCTTTTTGGTGGGCCACACGTTTGTCGACAATGAACGCATGTGTGGATTTACTGTATGCTCAGAACTACGTGAAAGACAACCGGTGAATTCACATGTGCGAATATTAGAAACACATATTGTTGGTGCCAGCTCAAATATAGTTCACTCAGGTACCCAATTAGTTTGGCTGAGATCCTTGCAGTGATGGATTAATGTCGTCTGTGGGTGGGGCTGTATATATGTATGTATGTTGAAGTTCTTTCGCACCTTACGTAGCCAACCATGCTAATAGGAGGTGGTAGGCCTCCTCTGCCCACGTGCCATACGAATTGAAGACGTGAGCCATATCCGACTCGTGGCCTGTCAGTTTCTCCTGCCCTGTTTTAGTAGGAAGAAGAAAACCTTGTCCCACGCGCCGTTAGCGTCTGCCAGAGACTGTGGCATCCCTACGGAAATTCTGCATTGCACGACCGCTATTGGTGTTGCGCTGGCACAAGTGAAGGCGAAGCGGCTCGCTGGTGTTCGCTCAAGTTCACCTTAGGATATCCGCAGCAGCAGCAGCAGCAACACCTCATTTAATTAAAGTGCCTTTTACAATGGCAGGATTATTTCCGAGCCGTTGTGTTGACAGCATCCTCGGGCAGGCGTGCTCAAAAGGACATATACGAATATTGGTTATCAAGGATAAGCAATGAGACAATTCTCCTGAAGCATTTTCATTTTGCAAAACCGCATTACGGCAGCTTCAGAGTTGAAAGTCAACCTCCGCGCGCATTTCGGTGATGGGTCTTTTCCCGTTGCCAACCTGGTTACAGGGCCCAGTTTATTGGGAAACGAGAAACATCGTCCTCCATTCTCGACAATATCGTTTCTTCCCTCCACGGCCCTGCCTCCCGCCACAAGAGCACCGGGGGGACATCGCAGTCAAGTTGCGTAGCCGTCGATGGCGTATGCGGCGCAACCGCACCAAGGGCCCCGCAGGCCGAAGGGGCCGAGGGTGGCCCCCATGCCATACACGCGACGCCACCGGCCGCAGCGGCAGGAGACGCGCGTGCGGCCAATCACGCGCGAGTGTTGCCGAACCACTGTGGAGCCTTAACAGGTGCGGCTGGCGCGATAGAAAGCGAACCAATGGGGGGGCTCAGTGACATTCCGTTTGATGACCCTGTGAAACACGTTGTCGAGAACACGCTTGCACGATTGGGATGGGTGCCCTCTCCATAAAGCCTCTTGGTTTACTCTTAAGTGACACAGACCGTAGCTTCGGGGCGTATAGGTTGCACGTGACATTGGCGGAGGGAAAAAATACAAAAACACGTGCAACTATAAACATTCCCCCGTGCCTTTGGGGGTCAATTTGCAAAGGCGTGCATTAACAGGTGCGCTCGCTATTTCTTTTCACACCTTGTTAGCAAGTGCCCATCTGATACACACTATATTTTCCTGCCTCGGGCGGCTCTTCGTACCGATGGCTAACGTGAAATACTATACGGAAAACGCAGCATGAGCACACGCATGGAACACGCGGTGCACACGCGCGTACGTGCGCGCGCACACACAAATGTGCGAGCGGGCACGTGCACGTGTGTGTGCGCGTAAACCCCCGCGTGTGTCTGTCCGTGTGCGTTACACGCGTGAGTGGGCGCGCGCGAGCCTCGGACGGCAATAAATTAGAGCATTAGTGACTGTGAAGCGCGATGAATTACAATGTTGATGAAATTAGTAAAAAACAGCCAAGGTGCCAAACTAGATTACTTACAAAACAAATGATTACCAAGTGGCAGCGGAGTGTGCCCATTAGTCACTGCGGCTCTGCCGTACGCAGGGGTTCGCGCACACCACAATGCAGCGGGAGGTTAAACAATATTGCCACACGAGTAATAAATTGAAAACAAATATTCCTCCCAAACACGATGCTGTCTGCACAAGCCGCCATCCTTTAAAAATCCATTTTGCTCTGCCCGCACTTTTCGGCGGCATAATATTATTACACAAATTACGCAAACTAATGGCCTGCGACCGATTTTATTGTTTTTGGAATGAATGTGCTCTCGGATCATCTTTGCTAATCTTTCCCGGACGGCAGCGATTTGTTTCCGACGCGGTTCAGGGGGCGGCGCTCGGCTGCGTGCATCTCACGCGGGCGCGGAGCGTTCGCCTCCCAGATTAGAAGCAGCGTGACACGAATAGCCTGGCGGCGTCGCTGTCACCGGGACGAAATAAATAAATAAACATGCGCGTGCTTTACCACACGCGCGCGCACACAAGAAGAGCCCTCTCTACTTTACACCCCCCTCCTCCCTCCTCCCCCCGCATGAGCTCTCGCTTGCTCGTGCTCCAGCTTCTGTCTCTGTCTCTCTCTCTCGTGATTTTGCCGTTGTTAAAGTGGATGGTTTCTTTGCGAAGCAAATTAAGATCGTACTTACTGCTAATTTTCGAAACATGCTTAAACAGGCTCGTCCCGCACAATGACTCGTCAACCGCTTTTTAAACTAACCGGTGCGTGGCGGTGGCGTTAATTGTAGCTAGATTAACCAGAAAGAAACGAGTAATTAATGAGCATTTATAATGCGCGATATAAAATGCGGCGGGGAGTGGGGGGGGGTAAAATTATTAAATCTGCGTTTGAGAAATAGCGGGGCATTTATTTCCACTATCACTGTTTTGTACCGTTCCGATACTGAGGCATACCCGCCCTGAATCACCCTAACCTCATAGCTGCGCCTCTCCCATTGTAATGCCTCGCAGCCGGTGGCTTTTAGATGTTTCTGGCAGTTCACCATTGGCCTCAAGAACCACTGGGTGGGTTGAGTGAGCATGTGAGGTTAGGGTGGCTCAAGGGTACAGGTGAATGCAGTGGTCAGTTGTTTTAATAGCGTCCTTGATTCCCACTTGTATAGAGGAAGGAGGCTATCTGGAAACAATTAACTAAGTAGTTGAAAAGGCTCCTGCACTGATGTGGGCCTTGACAAATGTCAAACACGAGCCGGTACTAACCCATCCTGTGGAAGGATGCAGTCTTTTTCTAAGCTGCAATCACAAATACAACTGCACTGTGTGAGCGTATATGTATTTGCTCATTTGTTGTTAGATGTGTGCTGCACACTTGTAGGGATATGCATATATTGCCGTGCAGTCGTCTTTTTTACACATGACAAATGCCACAGGTGGTGTGTCGCTCATCGTCATTGCTCTACGAAGCGGACTCATTCTGATAAGAACTGGCATGGTACAGTGAGGGAAAAAAGTATTTGATCCCCTGCTGATTTTGTACGCATGCCCACTGGCAAATAAATGATCAGTCTATAATTTTAATGGTCGGTTTATTTGAACAGTGAGAGACAGAATAACAACAAGAAAATCCAGAAAAACGCATGTCAAAAATGTTATAAATTTATTTGCATTTTAATGAGGGAAATAAGTATTTGACCCCCTCTCAATCAGAAAGATTTCTGGCTCCCAGGTGTCTTTTATACAGGTAACGAGCTGAGATTAGGAGCACACTCTTAAAGGGAGTGCTGAAGTTTGCCAATGAACATCTGAATGATTCAGAGGACAACTGGGTGAAAGTGTTGTGGTCAGATGAGACCAAAATGGAGCTCTTTGGCATCAACTCAACTCGCCGTGTTTGGAGGAGGAGGAATGCTGCCTATGACTCCAAGAACACCTTCCCCACCGTCAAACATGGAGGTGGAAACATTATGCTTTGGCGGTGTTTTTCTGCTAAGGGGACAGGACAACTTCATCGCATCAAAGGGACGATGGACGGGGCCATGTACCGTCAAATTTTGGGTCAGAACCTCCTTCCCTCAGCCAGGGCATTGAAAATGGGTCGTGGATGGGTATTCCAGCATGACAATGACCCAAAACACACGGCCAAGGCAACAAAGGAGTGGCTCAAGAAGAAGCACATTAAGGTCCTGGAGTGGCCTAGCCAGTCTCCAGACCTTAATTCCATAGAAACTCTGTGGAGGGAGCTGAAGGTTCGAGTTGCCAAACGTCAGCCTCGAAACCTTAATGTCTTGGAGAAGATCTGCAAAGAGGAGTGGGACAAAATCCCTCCTGAGATGTATGCAAACCTTTTGGCTAACTACAAGAAACGTCTGACCTCTGTGATTGCCAACAAGGGTTTTGCCACCAAGTACTAAGTCATGTTTTGCAGAGGGGTCAAATACTTATTTCCCTCATTAAAATGCAAATCAATTTATAACATTTTTGACATGCGTTTTTCTGGATTTTGTTGTTATTCTGTCTCTCACTTTTCAAATAAACCTACCATTAAAATTATAGACTGATCATTTCTTCGTCAGTGGGCAAACGTACAAAATCAGCATGGGATCAAATACTTTTTTATCCCTCACTGTACCATGTGACACGGTGCGGAGGCACGCGGTGTGACGTGTGCGGTGCGGTGTGACGTGTGCGGTGCGGTGTGCGGTGCGGCGACCAGCTAGTGGAGAGCCTGTCGCGGCTCGTGGCCGCCCACGCTGGTGTGCGGTGCTGGCTGCTCAAGACGGAGGAGGGCCCGGGTGGACGCGGCACGGCGAGCTGCCCCGTGGCCCAGCATCTGCCCTGCCACCGCTGGGTGCTGAGCGAGAGCCGGCGCTACGGCTCCGAGCAGTGGAGGCATCGCTGGGCACAGGTGAGAACCCTCGTTCAATGAATAAACTCATCATAATAATAATCAGAACAAAATACATGAAATTGTTTGGAAGTTGTGTTTGTTTTGTTGATTTATATCACTGCTGCTTTTCTGTAGCTTTAAAATTGAGCATTGACCGATGATACTGACAGTGATGATGATTTGGATGATGATTTTGGGAATGGTGGTGGTGATTGTAATGATGACAGTAGCAATGATGACGATGATTTTGGTGATGGTGGTGGTAATTGTAGTGATGATAGTAGCACATCACGGTCTGTTTCTGATTTTTGCATTCTCCCACATTTCACAGAAACCGCATGGCACTCTCAGCGCAAATTCGCCAATAAACCCTATTCGCCTCTTTCAGTGCGGCCAATTTATAATAAAAAAAATAACGTAATCAGTATCGGGGCTGTTTCTGCAAACATTACAAACCTCGAAGCTCTGTCCTTCTGTCCTCTATAACTACGTTTGTGCGTTGTGCTTGGCGCACTACAGTACACTATGAACCCAGCGACCTGAGTTTGATTCCTGGCCACAGCTGACATTTGGTGTGTGCGAGCGATATCTGAACTGATCCTGGCCCCTTCTGTTACCAACCTGCAATGGCCAATGTGGTGAAGTATGGTTAAAAAAACCCATCATGACCTGTACGAAATTGGGTGGCCTATGTTCAGAATTTGACTGGCAAAGGACTGTACATTTGTAAAAAAATATATTATTATGATTTAAACCAAGCTGTACTCTAAAATGAGTTTGCTCAATTTCCTGGTTTTCATAGTTATAATGATGAAGATGGCAATGGTGATGATGATGTATTTGACCAACAATCGCAATACGGGAACATCCTGAGTCGTATGACTCAGTGTGATTTAAATGTCTTTCCAAACCCCACCCCCAACCCTCCCCCCCCCCCCCCCAAAAAAAGTGGGACATTGTGAAAGTTTATTTCATGGTGCATGCACTGGATAGTAATTAAAATCTGTGTGCTGTGATGCTCAGTGAAGTTCTCCGAAGCATGTCTTCATTACATTTGGCATAATAAGCCAGCGCCGGCACCAACAACAACAACAACAACAAATAAATAAAAAATATAATTCTAAATTTAATTAATAAGTATACTTGGACATAATCGAGAGATCTCTGTTGTTGTAGTGAAGTGCGTGTGTACATGTTGGGTGTGATTCATGATACTTCATCAGATCTTTGCTACCTGTAATCACATTTACAAGCGGGGATTTATTTCACATGGCATTTTATTCAGGGCCCTCTCAACGCCCAACCCCTAACCCTCTGGGGCCCCGAACGACAACTTTTTTTGAGATGCTCAGCCCCCGCACAGCTACGGCTAAAATTAAGCACCCGGTTTATGAGTGTTGATTAATCAAAACAAAAAAAATCACAACCTTATATCTTCAGACCTCGAAATCTGAGAATGGGGTTTATCGTTTGTATACCGCACTTAGAGATGTAGCAATGTCGTAGCAGTTGGCACACTGCGGTACGAACCAGGCGACCTGAGTTTGATTCCTGGCCATGGCTTACAAGGGTTTTTTTAAATTTTAACTCGCCCTGGGCCACCCCCTTCACCAACCCGGACTGACCAGTATGGTGAAGTACGGTCAAACAACCCCCATGACCTACGCAGCCTTCATCCGGTAGTAGATTAACAAAGGTCTGTACATTTTTTATAGGGCGTAGAGACACGCAGATTCATTTTGAATGCTAAATAAATCCAAACTGCATTGGATATGGCATCCTGCATTCGGATGTTTGGCCAGTCTCGTTCATGTTTGGCTCATGCCTATTGTACGGTGTTATGACAAAACCCACCATGCATATGATGAGATAACACCCATAGCGTCGCACAGATAGAGTCAAGAATCCATTGCTTTATTACCATCTCCCGATCTCCTTGCAGCCCAATCCTGCAACATCTGGCATTCCCAGGCAGCCTCCCATCCAAATACTGAACAGACTCAAGCCCGCATAGCTTATGAGAAACAAAGATGCTGGGTGCATTCAGGATGATTTACTCATTAACATTACAGATGGTTCATTATGATTCTATTATTATTGTATGGGCCTGTATGGAGCCAAAGATTTGGTGTACATTTAACATCGATTATTGTCTAATATATTAATGTAGAGTAAATATAGTTTTTAATGGTGTGCGATGACACACGGTGATATATATTATTCATATAGAGGCAATATATATCTATGTCAAGTATGTGCAAAGTGTAGACACGTACAATTTTACACAACCTTTGAGTGGCGTTATTCATTTATTGCTTTACATCGGGGTTATAAATTATTTTGTATTTCTTAGCGCATCGCTTATTTTGCGTCCGTGTCCTGTTCCGCGCTATGCACAGATCCCCGCGGCCGGTGGGCAAATTAAACGGCTCTCTCTCCCTGCGAGAGTGTGTGTACTGCACAGTGAGAGCGTGTGTGTGTGTCCTGCGCCCGAGCCCAGCATTCCAAGTTCGATTTCAACTCAAAGCCAACATCAGCTACAAATATGTGAACCGGTCCTGGGCCTCCGCTTAGGCTGGCTCAGGGAAAACAAAGGCGGCCTGGCATGGTGTTGCCCCCGCCCCCCCCCCCCGTATGCCACGCCGGCCTTAATAGGTGCTCACATAACAGCACTTGCCCCAAGAGCCTGTTAAAATCTATACAGGGGACCTTTCTCTTTGGACCGCACAGCCCACGCTGGCATCAATTAAATTCCGGCGGGAAGGTGCGTTATGAAAACACCCCGGCCTTGCCCGAGTTCTATTCTCACAAAACCGGGGAGAGTCACTGGCAGAAATTAACTTGTCTCCCTCCTCCTGCTCCTCCGCCAGGGGTGGCCCTGCCTATTTTTGTCCTTTAATTGATAAACTCGAGCGAGTAGAATCGCGCGTGGTACCTATTGGCGGTGCTCGCGGACGCTTGTTGATAGAGGGTTGTGCAGTAATGGATATCTAGCTCTCCGATGATGGGTTTTCGGGTTGTTGCCGCGCGTTATTCGGAACCACATCCATCCTACGTTTTCACTCCACGCTGCTGGGAGTTTCTTCAGTTCCAATAGTTCTTGAAGAAGCTGGCAAAAAAAAAACGTCGGAAAAACCGCGCAGCACAATCATGAAAACCTACTTCTGGCTTTTAAAGGCCCAGCACGATGAAAAAGAGCATTTCATGGAAACCCTCGTAATTGTGATACGGGTTTAAATTACGTACAAATGGTAGCAATCTGGCAGAGGCCCCCAAAACATATATATATATCTGCCTCTCGCACGAATAGATAAATGCCGGACTACATCTGTGTCCTGTGTTTACAAAACAGATCTCGAGGGGCCAATGCGTTGTGCTATGAAAGCCAGGATTGAGGCTTATCCTTCCCATCGAGGAAAAAAAGTGGCTTTGTAACCATGGAAAAGTAATTCTTGTGTTTTTTTAGGTGACCAAGCTAAGTGGGTTGTAATTTTCTAAAATAAAAGGCATACATTATTGAATAGGATCTGCCGAATAGTAACTCACCTACTTGCTTACACATTACTAATCTATAATTAATGGAAAGTTATTTTTTTCTTTCTTTCATGGTGTATGTATGTGTATGCGTGTACATGAATAGTGGGGAGTGGTAGTGTCGCGGCTAGCGCGCTGCGCTATGAACCTGGCGACCCGCGTTTGCTTCCCGCTCACGGCCAACACCGGTGACGATTATCTGAACCGGTCCTGGGCCTCCCCTAGGTCTACTCAGCCTAAAATGAGTACCTGGTGCGATGTGTAAACATCGTCACTAGGGAGACAAAGGCGGCCGGGCGTGGTGTTGGCCACCCATCCCCTCGTGTGCCGTGCCGGCCTTTATAGGTGCTTGCTAACAGCACTTGCGCCTACAGTCTGTTAAGACTATACGGGGCATTTTTTGTGTTTGCATATGAACATATATTTTTAGCCACAGCTTTGGTGCACATTTGAATGCTGGGTTTTTGTTTTAATCATTACGTCAATAGCAAGGGTAATATTCGTGTTGCCTACACGCGCTAATGGTAACACTCTCGGTCGCCGTTGCTGAAATATTAATTCTTTGAACATGTCCCGTGTGTGTGTATATGTGTGTGTGTATGGGGAATGGGGAGCGGTAGTGCAGCGGTTAGCGCGCTGCGCTACGAACCTGGCGACCCGGGTTCGATTCCCGCTCACGGCAAACACCAGCAACGATTATCTGAACCGGTCCTGGATCTTCCCCTAGGTCGACTCAGCTTCAAATGAGTACCTGGTGCGATGTGTAAACATCGCCGCTAGGGAGACAAAGGCGGCCGGGCGTGTTGCCACCCACCCCCTCGTGTGCTGTACCGGCCCTTATAGGTGCGCGCTAACAGCACTTGCCCCTACAGTCTGTTAAGGCTATACAGGGGGTCTTTGTGTATGGGGAGCGGAAGTGCAGCGGTTAGCACACTGGTACTACTCTATGGACCTGGTCACCCGGGTTCGATTCCCGTTTGTGACCAACACCAGTGACGATGATCTGATTCCGTCCTGGGTCTTCTGTAGGTCGACGCAGCCTCAAATGAGTATCTGGAGCGATGTGTAGGTGCTCGCTGACAGCACTTGCCACAAAAGTCTTATAAGGCTATACAGGGGTTCTTTGTCTTGTGTGGGTGTGTGTACATCGACCCTGCCCTCTCTTCCCCATGGGGGAACAGTGGCCGTGGATACAAGCGTCAGAATGGCTGCTGGCCACAGATAAGGAGAATCAGGCTGAGAACAAATATTCGAAGAAAAAACACAAATCAAAGCATTCTCATTATTCGTCAAGAGCAAGCACCTCCTGTTGGCTCCCCTTTAACGCTCACGCAGTCCCTGGAGTTGAACTTGCTTGTGATGATCATCAATGGCCATGGTCAATTCACTGCTGTACGAAGGCCTCCCCACTCTTGTCGCCATCTCTCACGGTCCTCGCGATGCCGCAATCCGTTTGATTCCTGCGCAGAAGCCGCTGTGCAGGATTTCATTACTCCATCCCAGCGATAAATTCTAAATGGACTCTCCATCTCATGCATGACATGACGCAGATAGCGGTACCTTTCCCGGATATAAATTTGGGAAAAAGACTTAAAAAGTGAAGGCAACAAAAAAATCTACTTACCGCGTGCTCCTTCAACGCTGCCAGGATGCGGCGGTGGCCAGGATCGCTCAGGAGCTGCCGGAGCTTCTGGAGACGCACTGCGTGCTCGCGAGCAACGACCTCTACCCCGACTGGGCCTCCTTCATCCAGGCCTTCCTCTGCCACGGTGAGACTCTCCCCATGACCCCCCCACCCCTCTGCGAACTCTCCAACAATTCCATTCAAAACTTAACAGTTCCTAGGCATGATGCTCTTTCTCTCCTGAAGTTCATCAACTTTTTTGTTACCCATAAAACACAATTGTGAAATGTCGAATGTTAAGGTTAACTAACTACATACAATGGATTGGAACAATGGGGAAACACAAGGTATTATAACAATAGGCAGACAATCTATCGGAACGATGGGCAGACACAATGTGTTCGAACAATGGGCCGAACACTTGTCCAGTCGGTCTACTCTTTCATCCTGTGCTGGAACACCACTCACCAGTGCAGTGCATTCAGTTTTCTTTGACAAGTCACCCCCCCCGCCACTCCCCACCCCTAGTCACTCATCCCTATCACTCTACCCAGGAGGCGTGATCGAGGCTTGCCCGCCAGGCGACAGCCTCACCTGCCTGACGGTGGACCTGCTGCTGGAGCCCTCGGGGGACGTGGCGGTGCAGGCGTGGGGCGACCAGCTCGGCGGGCGCCCCGTCACCCCCGCGCTGCGCTGCTGGGGCTCGTCGCTCCCGCAGAGCTCCGTGGAGCCGGGCGCCCTTCACGAGCTGGTGCGGCGCGTGGCGCAGGCGTGCTGCGGGCACGGCTTCGTCGGGCACCTGTCGGTCGACTTCGTCACCTTCATCGACCCCGAGAGCCTTCAGCAACAGGTGCAGCCTCTTGCTCCATCTCCCGCTTCTCTTCCAATGCGTCTCCTTCCTCCTCTGCCTCCTTCCCATGTGTCTATGTCCCATCACGTTGGTTGTTTATTTTTTATCCACCACTCATGCTGTTCGTTACGCACGGTTGCGCTTTATTTTGCGCGTGGTTGCGATTTACTTTGCTCAGTCGGTGTTAGCTGCTGAGGTCGTGACGGGTTTCTTCTTTCACTCCTGTTGCTCTGTGCCCCCCCGGTGCCGTTCCCTTTCCGCTGTAATGTGCACTGATGCCTATTTTATTGAGGGCGATATTGGCACGTAAAATAGTGCTGTTTGTAAGTTGCATTTGGAATTTTGGGCCTTTGCTCCTATCCTCATCAACTGTGATGTATGTATGTATCTTCAACTTCTTTCGCGCTATACGTAGCCAACTGTGCTAATCGGAGGTGATCAAAATAATGGTATAACAAAAATTATTCAGGACTATGAGAGATGGCAATGACTTGGGGAGGCCTTCATCGACTTCATCCAGCAGTGGACTGATCATGGCTTGATAATGACGGCGTTGATGGTGAATCAACTGGTTGCAGGTTTGGGCGTTGGACCTGGACGTGGGTTACAGCGATCAGTTGGCCATGACGCGCCTCATGGAGTTCGTGACGGGCGGAGGGCTGGATTGGCGCGACAGCATCTTCTCCGTGCCGTCGGAGCCAACCCCGGAGTCCGGCGCCATGCTCCTACATGGGGACAGAGCCAAGAGGGTGAGCGGCAATAGAATGAACAAAATACATTTTCAGTCACTCGTTAGTGTTTGCAGTGCTAAGTCTCAAGTTCTCAACATGGGCCATTGTGTTAAATTGCGTGCGTCAAGTAATCCAGCGTGAGCCCACTAAGAGTTGATGATGATGCTGACAATTATGTTGATGATAATGTTGATGAGGATGCGAATGATGATGAGAATGATGATTGAGGATATTAATGATGTTAATGAAAATGATTGTGATGATGTTGATGAGGATTTTAATTATCTTGATAATAATTATTATGATGTTGATGAGGATATTGATGATGTTGATAATGATTATGATGACGATGCAGATTTTAATGATGATAATAATGTTGATAGTGGTAATGTATCTATACTCTTTGGTTCTATTGGGTAAAGTCACGTAGGTGAAAATTCACCTGATGAAGGCCGCTTGTGTTGTGGCCGAAACGTCGTGATTTTTTGTTATTTTTTGTTATTTTATTTTCACCTACGTGACTTTACCCAATAGAACCAAAGAGTATAGATCCTAGCAGTCACGAAAGCTTTAAATCTAGTAATGTATCTATTTATGTTGAACTTCTTTCGCACCGTACGTAGCCAACTGTGCTAATCAGGAGGTGCGGGGGAAGGACAACAAACTAAATACAAAAAAACAGTTCTAAAGAAATTAGTTTTAAATCTATATTTGAAAGTGCATAGCTCCAGTGGCTCCCTAATATCGGAAGGAAGAGTGTTCCAGACAGCCGCAGAAGCGCATCCGAAAGCGCGCAATGCAGTGACAGCGGTCTTTGTTTGATGAGGATGTTAATAATGTTGAAAATAACGATTATGATGATGGGAACGTTAATGATGATAACGATGTTGACAACGACGACGATGACGACAACCTCGATGTTGATTATGACATGCGTGCAGTCTCCTCCAGCGAGCAGGCGCTACGCGGTGACGAGCACCCAGCTGGTGCACTCCAACCTGGCGCTGCTGCACTACAGCGTCTTCTTCAAGATGTGCCGTGCGCACGGCATCGGCTTCGACGTCAAGGTGGCCTTCGCTTTGCTGTGTTCCCTCTCCTGTTGTTCGTGAGGGATAACTTCCGAAGATGCTCGTGGCCTTGCACCCACGTCAGATGCATAGCTCATCCATCGTTGCTCTACAAAGCGGATTCATTCTGATCAGAACTGGCTCCGACTCCAGGCTGCGTGACAAAAAATTCCACCAGTGAGGTGACTGGCAGACAGATGAGTGATATACAGACAGAATCATCTTCTTATACAGCATTCCCTCGTTTTTTCACGAGGGATACTTTCCGGAGATGCTCGTGAATGGCAAATTTCGCGGATAATGAACTATTAAATACGTGAACATTCATCATAACACAAAAACGAAAAAATCGAAATAAAAATTAGCATGAAATATTATAAATATGTAATGGGCTCGAATTAGGCGCACTCACAGCTTCTTGGGAGGCAACACTATTTATTGTTAACACAACGCAACACTTAACATAGGGTGGTGACCACCGATCTATTCTCGGTAACACACACCATCACTCACTAGCACTGACTCTCGGATACAACTAGCGTGACCAAGCCAGGAGGAGGGCTACTGGCTGGCCACGCTGACTTGAGGCTTGACTCTTCTTCACGAGGCGTCTTCACGAGGCATCTTCTTGCTTGACACGAGCAGCCTCGAACCCGGTGCGGAGGCCGCTTATATGCCGCGTCGGCGTGTCCGGGCCACACCCCGGCCACACCCACCTTCGAGAACTGTCGATAAGGCTCCTCTCCTGTCCACGTGGCCTCCAAGGTGCCCCCCGGGGCCCCCGGCCCCCACCTTGATCCGGTCACGTGTCCAGCCGGGTTCACTCAGAGTGCCACGGCCTCACACAACCCCTGCGGCCCTGACGCACGACCTCCAGATCTCCCGAACAGGCCGTGATGTCATTCCCGCATCCAGACGTGATGACGTCATGTGTATGTGTGTGTGTGTCCACATGGTAGTGACGCTACAAGTTACTACAAATATTAAAGTATCTCATCGCTTTATCTCAACACTTTACCTCTCATCACTTTCTCTCTCCCTCTCTCTGCAGTCGTGTAGAGTTCCAGAAGTGATTGGCGGATAGCAGGTTCGTGAATAACAAGGGACTACTGCAGAGCCAACTCTCGAATGTCGGGAGTAATGGGGGAGGGGGGGGGGGTGGCCCAGTTGAAACAAAACAAATAAATGAGCCTATTAACAAAAACAACGCATTGTTTACCTTTCGGAACACTTAGCAGGATGCGTTGTCTGTTGGTATTGCTTCACACCGTATTGGCCATCAGTGATACGCCTGACGGTTTGGATCTCACCACATTAACGATAATAACCACCACGGAATTTGTACAGTTTCTCCCTATTTTGCTGTGTTATTTTAAGAGTGTATGATTGTAATTCTCAAATGGCATTTGGTATGCGGGGGCAAATTTTATATGATTGAGAATGCTGCGGCGTTGCTAGGAATGCCTTCCACGTGTCAATGCTTCTTTGCCTGTTTCTCAGGAGGGATTGCTGCCCGCAAACTCACCGTTGAATTTCTACATCTCAACTGCAGATTTTTCCGCAATTAAAATATTTATTTTGTAAAGGTTTGTCCTCCGATGTTTGACCCAGCCTCTGGCGCCCTTATTTTGTGCATTTTCCCCTTAAGCCACCCAGCCTCATTCCATTTTCATTACTCAAATACAAATACATCAATTTGACAAATAAGTCAAATAAGTCAATGAATAATAACATTCCTTTTTTTATGCCGTGTGTGTGTGTGTGTGCGCGTGCATGCTGGTGTGCTCGCACGTGACATCAGGAGCGGCAGGGAACCGTCTTCACCCTCATCCACGGGCAGCGACGTGAGCGGCTCGGGATGATGTGAGTGCACCCTCAACCAGCCAATCCGTAATTTTCTGTTTGATACATTTTGTACGTCGGTCTGCGTGGAGCAATTGCATTCATTTCCATCCAAATGGTGCGCGCACTTTGCATCATCAGCCACGCTCTTGTGCGCGTCCCTTTCGCAGGGTGATCATGGACGATCTCCAGGTTGCGCTGATGACTTTTGCTCAAAACCTCGCACTCATCCACCAGCAGATCTCCTCCGCCGATATGCAAGGGGAGACGAATTTTAAGGTCGGTCTCGCAATGCGATGAGAAAATATATCTCAAGCTCTCCGCTGTTTTCCTACTTCTGTCGAAAATAAACACGAAGCAATTTGTGCAAGTGCAGTAGCATAATATGAAATGAAATGCATTTGATGACATTTCTTTTGAGAACTTTTATTTCCTTTTGAGACAGTTTTAAAGTAATTGACTTGCTAGACAGGATAGTTGCCTTCTACCTGTGCCTGTCCCCTGCTTCCAACTTCCCTTGGGATTGACGTGGATCCGCACTGGTAAAGTTTCGGCTACCCAACCCGAATTTTCCCTGTTCATCCCGTCTGCCTCCACGTGATTGTATTTGATGTTTTTCACTCCACCTCATTTTTAATTCTGCCCCTTTCAATTTTGCCTTACTCCCACACCACCTCCTCACCCGGATATCTTCCCTACGTTCTCCATCCTCGAAACCGTCGCCTCCTATCTCTGTCCCCGGCCTCATCTCTCCACAACCCTCCCCTCTCCCTACCCTTAATCCCACTCTCCTGGGACTGCTCTGGGACTCCTTGGTGCTGCCCGGGCCGTTCCAGCAGCTGGGCTCCAGCTGCTTCTGGCTTATGTGACTCCCTTTCCTCTCTCCCATGTTTTACAACCCTACCTACCCAACCCAACCCCTGCCACTGCCATCTTTCCGAGTGTAGTCCCTTACTTTAGTGAAGCATTTTGAGACGTTGATGCATTTAGATGCGATAGGAATTGAAATGTTTTATTATCGTACTTGATATAGTCCATGATATAATGAATGTAAGTCGTCTTTGGGTATGCCCTCATATGGCATATAATGTGTGTGTATTGCTCAAATTATGTTCCCGCATAACAAATGCGAATCACTTGTTATAAGTGCGTGCGCTTACCAGTTGAAAGGTTAATAATTGTATCTTGTGGCATCATGCCTAAATGGACTGTTCAGGAAAGCTCTATCTGTGCTTTGGCTGCAGGAAGCTGTGCAGGAAATTGAGTCAATTCTGGGCATCACAGTGCAGAACTGGGACAGAGAGGAAAAGGAGCGGGAAAGTGGTGGCCAGCTTGCTGACCACACGAAGGCCACCACCACCGTGACTGCCACCGCTGCTGTCACAGAGGCCCTGTGAGCCATCGGTTGAGGATGCGAAGGTGGACAGAGAGGGAAATCCTTTGTCAAGAAAAGCATGCCCTCAGGTGGCTAAGCGCTGACCTCCTACGAGCAAAGGCCTAATGAAAGATGGGGCAATAGGCAGCGACGTATGTGGAAAGGGATTATAGTGAAAGACTTGTACTGTGCCACTCGCTATTTAATCCCAAGTGCCAGAAGGGTTTGTTTAGCTCCATGATTGTGCATTGACGATTTGGCCATTTATCTACAGAATGTGCCAAATGTGTATGTGTCTCATTTTTACAAATGGTGAATGTTTCTTTTTTTGATTGAAAGCTTTCGTGACTGCAGGGATTCATATTCTTGGTTCTTTCGGTAAAGTCACGTAGAAGGGAAACAATAAAATAATAAAAATATGAAACAATAAAATTCTCACGACGTTTCGACTGCAACACAAGCAATCATCATCAGGTGTGAAAACCACAACAAGAAAATTTGCAAAAAGTGGCGGTTATTTTTAACATGACTTTACCGAAAGAACTAAGAATATGAATGTTTCTTTTTCAAGTATTTTTAATTACATTTAGAAATAGGAATTATGGTTTAAAAAAATCTGGTAAGGAACATTTCACATCGTTCATAAAGTAGCCGCTATACTTTATTACTTTGTATTAGTCGTCCGGCTTTTCTACATGGTAATTTCACTGTAGGACCGTTCATCATTATTTGTGAGTTGTTTTCAATGTAGTACAGGAAGCTTTACATTTCATAAGCAGCTGCACTGTTACACAATAATACTCACGTGTAAGGACTGTAGCTGCCAAGGCATGTGTTTGTCGTGTATAATAGCGCAATGGGGGAGCAGTTGCAAAATGATTAACAAAATGCAATATAAACCCGTAAACCCAGAGTTTGACTCCTTGGCTAGCATCAGTGGCAAGTTATAACTGAAGCAATCTTGACCGCCCCCTTCATTAACCCGCACTGATCAGCTTGGGAAGAATTAATGATCAAACAATCCCATGTGGGGAAGCCTTAATCCAGCAGTGGATTGACAGAGGGCTGAAATATAGTATTGTTGTGATAGTACTACTTTTGTCCCTGGTATTTTCACGTTGATAAAACAAGTTTCTGTTCCCAAAAACACGTATTGTAAGTTTGTTGGTTTGTAGTATGCGAGTGAACGTTGCCGGATTGTGGTATTGTCTGCTGGTAGTGGCGATAGAATGTGTAACAAAATATTTTTTGTTCCTCAGTGTTATTTACTAATTGCTTATGCCTCAAAAGTACAGAAAATTGCTATTATTCCCAACAGAATTTGCTTTTGTGACCAGGACAGTGATATTTTGAAATGTACCTATTTTCAATGAGAAAACGTGGTGTGCATTTGTGTCTTTCGTTTGCACAAAGTCCTGGTCACAAAAGCAAAGTTTGCGGGGAATAATAGCCATTTTCTATAGTTTTTAGGCATAATCAATTAAAAAGTAACACTTACTACCCAGGGACAAAAATCGTGTTACATAGTGTATAATCAAAAGATGGAGATGGATAAATGTGTTTCTTGTCATCCGTTGTATAGCAATGTCATAAAGCATTAGTTGCTGACATGTCTCTGCAATGGGTGTCAAAGCTAAATACAACCAACTCGCTGATCACACAGTGTCCGTGTAAATTTTTTCATAAGTGTCATTTGCCGAAACATAAAAAGGTTTGAATTTTCCAGATCAAAATGTGAGTCACCTGCTTTCAAACCACACAGGCCTGAGCTGGGCCCGATGCATGTCTCGGTGAATGTTCCTTTCTCGTCCAATTTTCGGCAAAAGACAATCTCATGTCTCCATCACCAGCATCCGGCAAATCTCCAAGGTGATGCGATCTGTTTCAGCAACCCTGTAAGCGTACCCTTCGTCAACGTGGGAGCCATACAAAACCTCATGGGAGGGGCACAACACGGGTCAATATTAACCTTTAACTAAATGTTAAATGCTAAAACAGAATGACCAACGATCTGCTTTTGTCTGTCATGCATTCTGCTCTAGTTCTCAACCCCAGATGTAAAGGTCGCATAATTATTTTCTAGTTTGACTTTGAGAATTTATAAGGCGGCAGAACCTTCAACAGGCACGCGTGTGTGTGGGGGGGGGGTCTCAGCTACACTCCATCCTCCCCAATGCTACAAAGCCACGTGTTTATGTCAAGGTGTCAATCAGGCCTTATGTCGTGATGTGTAAGCTTTCCCCTGTGTGTAGAAGCCTCCAAAACCGAAATATGAAACACACCCAATGGTGCAATCTATAGATTTTGTAGATACAGTAATACACAGTATTCGAGAGTGACTACGGTATTCCGCGGGGACGTGTCAATGTGTACAGATAGGGGGGCCGTACCGTCTAAGTGGACGTTTGGCTGAAGTGCTCATTGGAGAGATGCTCAGCCTTCAAATTGTGCTCAGTGCTCCATCGGCCACAGATCCCCATGGAAGATGATGCATAGCTCCCTTACGATAACGCCGTCAAATCTACTGCTCAGCCCTCCTCATAACCCTCATCATTAGATTACCTATAGCTGTGTGTCACTTGATGTTACCGAACTCCGCACGCCTCGTGATATTTAAACCGACCTTGGGCCCTCCCTTCACCAACATGCATTTACTAGCGTGGTGAAGTATGGTCAAACAATAATAGCCCATGACTGACACGGTGTTTGGAGGCCTTCATCCAGCAGTGGATCGACAAAGAGCTCTTATATTCTTGGTTCTTTCGGTAAAGTAACGTAGAAGGGAAATAATAAAATAATAAAAAATATAACAATAAAATTCTCACGACGTTTCGATTGCAACACAAGCAATCGAAACGTCGTGAGAATTTTATTGTTTATTATTATTTCATTATTTCCCTTCTACGTGACTTTACTGAAAGAACCAATAATATGAATCCCCGCAGTCACTAAAGCTTTAAATCTACAAAGAGCTCTTGATAAAATTATGCTTCTGTGTTGTTAGTATTTAACTCTCACCCGGTTACATTTGCTGCCACTCTTCTTCTTCATGTTTGCAGTGTTGACTCCTTAGTTTGCACCTATGAACCTGAGGTATGCCCCACTAACCATCATCAGCCATAACTCATCGCCAAGTCGTTGCCATCTCCCACGATCCTGCAACGATCTGTCTAACGCCTGCTCACGAGCATGATTTTGTCGCTCCATCTCTTCGACGTTGCGATACCTCCGACGTGTGTTCCTTCTCCCTGCCTGAATCACAGGCCATCATCCATCAACCCTTCTATCGGTGTGCCGTGGCCAAAGCCCCACTCACTTTTGCTCAATGTCATGTCCCTGACTTGTGGTTGTGTTCTCTAATCCACGTGTACCTCGTTTCTGTCTCGGTGTAACTCCAAGCATGGACTTCTCCCAGTGGCGTAGCTGCATTATCAAGGTCAGGTGGGGCCCCAAATATTTCATTTGTCTCTCGCGGTGGTTGTCAAAGGGGGCCCCAACTCTGAGCTTTGGTCGTCAGCGGGAGCCAAGGCACTCCCTGCCCCCAACCTCGTTATGCTACTGACCTCACCATGCTTCTGTGGTGTTGTAATTACGGACGAATAAACTTTTTTATGAGGCACACTCTGTTTATTGTCTTTTTTCGACACGGTCCCTAACACACAAGGGGTATACGGTCCCCTTTACCCGATACCTAGGGAGGTATGGCCTCCCTAGGTATCAGGGGTAACCGTGGGTAGGTCCCGCCTACCCACGGTCCCGCCTACCCACGGGTAACCCGTGGGTTGTGTTTATTTTTTTTAGATTGCCTTTTTAGATTGTCTTTTAAGTAGGATGCTTTTGTTGTGTTTATTATGCATTTTATTAAACTTGTTCATTTTCATTTTTTATGTATGGGGCCGTCCATAAATGACGTCGCGCACCTGGGGGGGGGGGGGTCAGACATTTGTGACGATGTGTGACGAGAGGGGGGGGGGGTGTTGAGAAATGTGACGTCACATAAAATGCGCAACTTTAAATCGATATAGACAACACGTTCTACTTAATTAAATATACTTTTTAATAATTGTTTTCTCCTACAATATCAGAGTGCAGCGCCACATTAAATACGCACTACAATGACAATAGTTTAAAGCGATTTGAAGCATGTTTTATTTTCAAAATGGAAATATGGTTTGGGGGGTGGGGCAGAGCTTTGTGACGTCATTTTTGAGGGGGGTTTGACTTTGTGACGCCATGTGACGAGGGGAGGGGGTCAAAAATCGTCCAAAATCGCGTGACGTCATTTATGGACGGCCCCTATCATTCTTATTGTTGTTTACATTGCGTCAGTCCCTTCATTTAGTCCCGTAAAAACACTTTGTATAGAAGTATTTGCACGAATTGTGCTATATAAATATAGTTTGATTTGATTATATTGTTACGTATAAGGAAGTTGTTATTGACGAATGTGTTTGTGACGTGTGTGTTGGACCACCAGTGCCGGCACAGTATCACCACGTTAATTTGTTTACTTCTATATTGTAGTTTCATAGTTTCATTTATTTGGTATAGCCCTGTGAGCCATTCGGCTCTTGAATCGGGTGCAACCGCAACAAACAAAACAACAAAAACATGAACAAGAAAAACATCTTAAAGTGACTATGTGACTGTGCAAACAGAAAATCCAGGAATACACATAAAAAAATATTCCTGAAATAGCACCGTACACCAACGCTGTGTGCAAAAATCCCAGTGGAATGCAAGTCAAACAACAACAAGAAGAAAACTTAGATTAAGGCCATCAGTCTAACTCCGTACTACAATAAACAAAAAACATGGCCAAACCAAAAAACTTTTAGAAATCACCAAAATAAAGTCATAAATGCAATGTAACAGTGATCATAGGACCTGACCGAATTTTTAACAATAAACTACATAAATAACATGTAACACCAAACCCTAGAGCCACAGCTGGCTGCATGAGTCACTCCACAAACAACAGGAGCATCAGTCGGAGTATCACATTTTTCAATGCACCTTTAAGATCAGCACACTAAAATCAAAATACAGATAATACTTTGCAGCGGTCATCCGGAGCGAAACATTTTATTTTATTTTAGGCCACTGAATAGCAGTGGCAGCTAGGGGTGTACAACTCCTCTAGAGCAGTTTTGAGTGAATATCTCATAGGTAGTGATTCAAGTTGCAGTTTATTGGCAATCGCATTCCAGTATATTGTAACGCTGGCAAGTCCACACAATACTTTACCAAGGGGGCACTTTAAAGAGAAACTGAACTTTTAGAGCCTTTTTGGCATAGCGAGAGCCCTCAGCCAATCAGGCACCGACTTAGCGCGAGGCTCTTTGCAAACCGCGCCCCTTTATGCTAACGAGAAACCCAAGCAACCAATGGGCTTGCCAAAGCTGTGATCCCGCCCTCTTTAGGTCACGCCCATTACGTTTCTTCGGTTCCGCGGCGTGTTGCGTACAGTGACCTCACGGCGAGGTTTGTGCAGTTTTAAATTCCCTCAAGCGGCGTTAAAGATCTTCGTTCTCAACTAAAGTTATGCTTTTTTAACCATTGTCGTTATTCTGCCGTTGTCCTTCGGCGAGCAGGTATTTAAATACGGTCGCCTGGTGAATGGTTGCTGCTTGCGCGATGGGTAGCGCTTAACGAGTCGTATTTGATTTTGATTGAAAGCTTTCGTGACTGCAGTAATTCATATTTTTGGTTCTTTCGGTAAAGTCACGTTGAAGGAAAACAATAAAATAAAAAATATATATAAAACAATAAAAATTATCACGACGTTTCGACCATAACATCACCTGATGATGACCGTTTGTGTTATGGTCGAAACGTCGTGAGAATTTTTATTGCTTTATATATATTTTATTATTTTATTGTTTCCCTTCAACGTGACTTTACCGAAAGAACCAAGACTATGAGTCGTATTTGTTGATATTCTTTGCATGTCGCTGTTTGCTTTAAGTCCCCCCCCCCTAAAAAAATCAACGTTTCGATTTAAATTTTGATTTAAAGCTTTCGTGACTACAGGGATTCATATTCTTGGTGCTTTTGGTAAAGTCACGTAGAAGGCGCCGATAACATTCGTTCCACTTTGTGGGAATTCAACAGCGGTCTCACCTGGTAACCGTCATAGGGATGTGGAATTTCCACCATTGGGTCAGGGGTCGGCCACCAGAAATGAGCAGCCACTCAACCGGTCACCCTCTAAGTTTTATTTGACTGTGTCCCGGCTTTACATACGCGCGTTCTATCCCCGGCGACGGATAATATCTGTGGCGAGTGATATTTGAACCCGTCCTGAACCCCTCCCCATTCACTTAGCCGCACTGACCAGCGTGGTGAAGTATGGTCAAACAAACCCCCATGACTGATACGGCGTGGGGAGACCATCTAGCAGAGGGTGGACCACAGGCTTTACACACAAGTTATATTTCATTGTCATGCACATTCATGAATGAACCGCTTTAATCACACCAACACGCTTTAACCTGACCCCCAGAATGTATGAGAATTTTTATGTGGATTTTAGATTGTTTCTCAAATGAATCCAACTCACACTGTGCAGATGCCCATCAGTCGCCTATGATCAAATTACAGGACCCTCAATGTATCTGACCTTGTCGGATCTCAGAAAGCAATTGGGGTTGAGAGATGAGAAACTGGGAATGGGAACCTGGAAATTGTAGGTGTTTACATGAGCTGCCAAATAGGCAAGAACCAGTAGTATAACAATAGGTTATTGGATCAATCTGTGCAGATGTGTGAGTGTGAACCCCTTGTATTGTTTGTGTTTTTCGGGTTCTACTTCATGCTAGATGAAGCCAAATGCTGGTGAATAGAATTGGCCAAGCATTCCAATGCAGGATCCTGCTGAGAAAAGTATTGAGACCCAGGCATTTCCTGGGTAAATGAAGGGCATTGATGGAGCAGTGGTGAAATGCTATGTGCACTGCACTGTAAACCTAATCTGATTTGGAATGTCAGCCATGGTTTACATCAGTGCTGAGTAATATCAAGACTGATTCTGGTCCTCCCCCCAGGTAGCCAAACCTGCACTGACCATCGTGGTGAAATATGGTCCAACAACCCCGATAACTGACAGAAAACAGGTCTTCAGCACAGTCAGCTGATAATATGTAAATTACATACAATATCTCAGTGGTACGCATCATTTTTTCAAGAAAATCTGAGATAGTTACGTGTGGCCCTCTGGTACAGTTGACATGCATTGACCCAATGTACATGACCCTCTTCCACTCGCAGGGCCATCTGTGAGTTAGGATGAAGTTGCTGCCCAGGAGCTGGTCAACAAGCAAGCGTAGACCCCGGGCTTCCCAGGTGCTCACAGCTCATCTCCTGCAGCGAAACCTCCCACATTGGACCTCATATTTTGTCAAGGTGTGTTAGCTCAGACTTTCCAGCAGTTATGCTAGATCATCATCATAAGTGATATTCTCTCAACTGGTGGATGAAGGCCTCTCTCCATGCCCAGTCTTGTGATGCAACAATCTCTCTAATTCATGCACATACGCTGGTTCAAAGCTCCATCTTCACGTGTTTGGACGTGTCCTTCGGCTGCCAGTTATCTCAATCACCGGCCATTGTCCTTCTAGCAACGTGTCCTGCCCAAGCCCAGTTACTTCCTTAACAGTCAATATCATATCTTAACTTGCATACGTTCCCAAATCCATGTTTCTTTTCGTCTATGTGTAATTCCAAGCAAGGGCCTCACCGTGCTTCTATGTGCACTTCTTAGCCTCTGTTCCTTTTTCTTTGCCAGTGTCTGTTTTTCTGATCAGTATGTTATAGCAGATCATGTGCAAAGATCTAAACATATTTAAACCTTAGTTATTCAGCACATTGGTATGTTCCTTTTCATGATTAAATACAGTTTTCTATAAGCACTCCAACCCGCTGTCATCTGTTGTGGTTATTACAACCTCAAATTAGTTCCACGCACCTCTGATTTTTAGTACTGTTGGCTACGTACAGTGAGAAATAAGTTCAACATACGTACGTACATACATTGTATTCATATTCTTGGTTCTTTCGGTAAAGTCACGTAGAAGGGAAACAATGATACAACTATAAAACAATAAAATTATCACGACGTTTCGACTGCAACACAAGCAATCATCATCAGGTGTGAAAACCACAGCAAGAAAATTTTAAAAAATTGGCGGTTATTTTTAACGTTAGCACCACGGAGAGCGATTTGACAGTTTGTTCAGATGGACGAGTCCATCTATGTTCGGAAAAGAGGGGGGGAGACGAAAATAATGGATGTGGTCGGAAAGCCACCGTAAGCATGAACAATCAATTAAGACCCGAAATGGTTGATCAAATCCTTCCAATGATTGCTAAGCCAGAATCCATCTTCTCGGTTGAAATTGTCTCTGTGTTTGTATATGTGGATAGCCTCATGAACGAATCTCTCATGGTAGCCAGATGGCTTGCAAATAACCTCTGTCTTGGAGAAGTCAATGTCATGTGAGCCTACTGAATTATAACAGTGATCTGCCACGGCCGAGGTTTTGGTCCTACCGTGTTTTAGGTCTGCTTTGTGTTAAAAAAATACATTGTATTATTTGTATTTGATTCCGATCTGCCTTCAGTAAATTACCTCAATATACATATTCTGGTTTATTTTCCACTTGTGCCCCTCCAATATATCTTTGTTTAGGAAAATTGGTGCACATGACTTTTGTTTTACTCATCTTCATTGCCACTTTGTAGCATTCTTTCCTTGGGTCTTCAATACATTTTTTATTAATTTCCGTTTGTTTTGTTGTCATAATTAAATATGTCAACAGGTGAGATAGTTATACGTTTATTCCTTTACCTGTCAGATCTAATTTTTGAGCTGAAAGTGTAATGTTGCTGACATTAACTTTGGCAAGAATGTATCCACTTGCTTGATGCTTATTTGGATGTTTATTCAGTTGATTCGTGCACATCTCAGTGAACGATATTCTACCCTTGTAAATGAATTTCTGTTATCATTTGTCGCCTCATCAATTATATATAAAATGTTCATGCAGATCATTGGGAACATAATTAAATACAATTCAGAAGCTAACCAAGCAAGTGAGCAAACCAAATTTTTTTAAGTTTATATTTTTCTCAACCATTGACCGCATATGTCAACGTATCAATCAGGCGATGAAAAGGACAAATTAAGTTCACGTACCATTATGAATAGCCTCTGTAGACTATGAAAAGGCATTTCACTTTGTGGACATTGATGCAGTTGGGTGAGCTCTTATACTTTGAAGTTGGACTGTGGAATTGTGGCTTGATGTTTCTTGGAGGAGCGGAGCTTGCATGTCAGGTCAGCGTGATTCTTAGTTGTCACGCTGTGCAATGAGAGATGGTCACTCGTGGCCTCTTTATCATTTCAGTACAGCGATGTGCAGAACGATCAGTTTTCGCTGTCTCATTTCAACTGGGGAGTGGATGGAGCAAACTATCATGTGCTGAGGACCGGGTGCTTCCCCTTCATCAAGTACCACTGCTCGCGGAGACCCTGGGAGGACTTGACGCTTGAAAACCGTATCTTCACAGCTCTCAAGCTCATCAACCTAGGTTCGATGATAATAAAATAAATATGATTACTCTAAAAAATATATTTTAAAACAATGCACAGTCATCATTATCGACCATGATGTTGATACCGCACATTCTGAGTTGAACAGTGATCTCAGAATGCATGGTATGTTTTTTTAAAAATTGGTTTTGTGGGTCAGAATTAATTGCCAATCACCATGCTTATCTTCGTGGTTGTGAACTGAAAATTTACCCAAATTAAGATCCACCAAAAAATGTATTTGAGTAGAAATAAAGTAGCAAACAAGTAACATTCGTCAGTAACACTGCCCTGTAAGAGAACTAATGATACAATCGGCCGATTTTTTAGGTAATGTCTTTCTTCAGATCCTTGGAGGGTTTGATCAAGGGCCGAACACGTGAGCCTATTATATATTATTCTGTTATAAGGCCGTGTTAATGATGAATGTGGTGAGTTTATTTGATTTTTGATAACGCTCTACTGCCAATACAGTCCTTTTGTGTTTTTTTGTTTTGTTTAATAGAGGTGAATTTTTTGGCTCGTCATGGAAAACAAGCATCTAGTCAGGTCAGGTGCGCAGCAATCAAGTAAATGGTTGCAAGCAGACAGACAAGAGTGCCGCTTTATTTTGGTGATTTCTAAAAGTTTTTTGGTTTGGCCATGTTTTTGTTTATTGTAGTACAGAGTTAGACTGATGGCCTTAATCTAAGTTTTCTTGTTGTTGTTGTTGTTTGACTTGCATCCCACTGGGATTTTGCACACAGCGTTGGTGTACGGTGCTATTTCAGGAATATTTTGATGTTTTTTTCCTGGATTTTCTGTTTGCACATGCACAAAGTCACTTTAAGATGTTTTCTTGTTCATGTTTTTGTTTTGTTTGTTTGTTGCGTTTGCACCCGATTCAAGAGCCGAATGGCTCACAGGGCTATACCAAATAAATGAAACTATGTGTTAGGAAGTCGCAAGAGTGGTTGTCCTATGGAAAGACTAACCACTATCAAAGGAATGTGACATTTCTTCCACATGTGCGATTGGGTGGGAAGCCACTTCAACTTTTTTTTTTCCATGAGAAAACCCCACCGTGTTCTTGAATGTCGTGATCCTCACAAGGGCCTGCAGAAATATCTGTCTATCCCAGGGTAGAATAGAAGATGTCGATATCGTGGCATTACACTCGGTAAATGTGAATTCCCTCGGGTGACGTACAAACGGAGTAGCGCGGCGTGGATTTGTGGTAGCAGGTGGTGGATGTGGCCTCATGAGGCCAATGTGGCTTCTGAAAGAATGATGATCATGACCGGCGATAGGAGGTAAACTTACTGCCGTGATCCAGTAGGACACAGTTGAAAGGTTAATTGTTAAGGTCTAGTGCCCTGTGTTCGGTAGCTCTTCCGATCAATGGGCGTCGGCCACTCGACCTGATTTACAGCTGCGGAATCGATGTTGTTAAATAGTTAAAGTAGGTGACAATGCAAGAAACTGCAGTAATTCTTGACCGTGCTTAATAGCCGACGGAAAACCCGATACTGCAAACTGCGCAGGACTTCAATTGTGCGGTCTCGGAGATTGTCGCGAGTATCGTGTAGCACGTTGAAAAAAAGAACACTTTGCCCTTAATTTAGTTTAGCAGGCAATTGTGCTTTACCTCACCTTAATTATTAACAAACTGTCATATCATCAGCCACGATCAGTCCACTGCTGGATGGAGGCCTGCTCAAGCCGGCACGATGCAGTAATTCACCTAGTACCTGCCATATACTGTGCATTTAATATTTAATTGGATTGTAATTATGCATTAAGTCATCATTTAACATTGATTGTTATGCTCAAGGTGCACGTGTCAGATCGTGCGTGTGAGGCTCGATTATTGTTCATACAAAATTATATGCAAATTCTATTCTCATGTTACCTTGAAGCTAAGGAAGTGAACAAAAACATAAATGAGACAGATGTAAATGTGAAACAATATGTATAACATGGTGAGAACGATCGACTCATGAATCGAATTGTGATCCAGAATCCTGACAAGTCGGTGGGAGTGAATCATTACTCAATTTACATTTAATGTGTTAACATTTCATGAAATGGCTATTTTCAAAGAGGAAAATACATTGTAGCATGTCCTTTAATAAATTTGCCTCCACAATCCATGCAACTCTATTAGAATAATTTAAAGTCAGTGTCCTAATGATTCAATTTTGTTTATTTTCCCCCCTAGGGATTCCGACGCTGGCGTACGGCATAGGCGCTTTGTTTTTGCCAAAGGTCACAGAGGTTGTGACCACGGAACAGGGCCCTGTCACCATCTACTTTCTCTACAAGGAGCAGGAGGGGGCCGTGAACTGAATAGAGGCGGCATGAGGGGTAACTGCAGAGTGGAGCAGCCTCCTTGTCTATGCAAGGCAATCATTGATGCACCTCAGCACAGATGACTGGGAATGACTCTTAGGCCTCTGATCATGGAAGAGGATTTTAAGGGAGATCAGTTTTCATGAGGGCGGAGCTGTGGTCTGTGCCAGTGCAAGCTGTTTGCGCTTTTGACTCGATTCTTGAAGCGCATGTAGTCTTTCTGCCGACTGTCGTCACTTTGTAAAACAAACAACGCACGTGCGTGTTTCTTTTAACCCGAATTATCCCTCGGTGTAGTCTTCGTAAGATTTAACGGCAAAGTTTAATGGAACAATTAAGGCAGAAATAATAACCTCTTCAATGAATTTTGGATTCATTGTGAATTGCAATCCCTTTTCCACAATACAAAAAGCTCCTCTGCGGCATAGCATAAAAAAACTTACCCTGGTTGCAGATCATTGCAGAGAAGAAAAAAAAACCCAAGGCGGTAACAACATAATTGCTCTCACTGCCCACCTTTGCTAATCAATCGTTGTCCCCTTTGATTAAAGCTCTTGTTGATGAAACAAACAATGGGGAGCGGTGACAGCTGCCGAGAGGTCAATTGGGCTGGAGCACGCGTCTGGAGGAGGAGATGATCGCTGGGGGAGCCACCCCTGGCCATCGCGAGCGGCGCTAACGACCTAGCCGCCATCGATCGTGTTAATTTCTTCGCAGCGCGGGTGTTAATTGCGTCGTCGATTTAACGCCAGCCCCCACCGCTGTTGCGCTGTAATTTAGTGAAAGTGATTACTCGTGAACCCGGTGCCGGGCATCGATCCCTTTCCGTGACATCGTTTGGCCGCCCCTCTTCCCGGCTCTGGGAAGGCTTCATCAGTCCCAACCGGGACGCGGGATGGAGGTGATGGTGGTGAAAAGTGATCGCCGAAGGCCACTAATGAGACAACCCGGCATTGGCTGATTTAGGTGGCAATCGTTTGATTTATGCGGCAATCGTTTGGCTGTGGGGAGAGACAGATCATTGCCAATGAGGCTGGCTAACAGCAGTTTCTGGTTTTATTGGTTGAATTTATTTAATACTTGCTTGTACCTACAAAACAAGTGACATGTGCTTAAAAGTGATTTTTAAATGAAGCCAAAATCAGATACCAATTATTTCTGCGAGTCAGCAAGCAAAGGAATTGCCAAATACAACAAGACCGACACAGCTGACGATGTGGCGGCAATTCGGAACTAAGAGTGGAAAAGTGCTCCAAGTTTGGAGCTGGATTGGTAGGTGGATGTGATGTATGTGGATAAGTATTATGTTTTATTTTAGTTATATTTTATTGTTTAATTCCCTATTTTTCTGTAAAGCGTGTGGTTTTGTTATTGTATTGTGAATTGGACTTCCAATTGTTCCCCAAGATTGACCCCCTGTTCAGGCCGCTGACAACATATCTTGCCAACTCTATTCATCAACACCAGTAATTGTTTCACGATATGACTAAATGTCAAATTGAAGGTTTCAGGCTCTAAATTTTAAATGTTTGACAAAATGTGCAGGGCAGTGTAGATGAGGGTTGGAAAGAGGTGCATTATTAATTGATTGCGAATATGGAATTTATTTTTTTGCATGTTAAATATTACATTCAACACTCGAAACCGCTAACAGTCCAGGCTAAAGTGCAGTTTCACCGCTGATTCTGCCCCCTTTGTTATATTGCACCCTATATTGAATTTCATGCCCGTGGAAAGTTATTACATCCACACTGTAAAACTCATAAGGTAATCGAGTTGTTAGAGGTGTAGTGGGGAGGGAAATTTGGTTGATGGAAAGTGTAATATAAAAATGACATGTCACAAAAGTGGCTCATGAAAACAACCCAGCGTCTTCTTGTTTGAAATTTACAAGAAAGCGTAATGGGTGCAAAAGGACCTCCGGGGTACAGTGCTGATGGAATCATAATTAGAAGCGCATTTTTTTTTCCCGTTCCATGTTTCCGAGTAAATAAATAAGTGAGCCTAAAGAAAATGTCCGCAGAGCGAGCGGGGAGCCTCATTGCTATGCTCAATTTGTCTCGTTTATGTTGCTTGCTGAAAATACGCTTAATTTAATTTACGTAAGCGGTCGTAATTAAAGCGCCGTACGTGAACACGTTGCGTCCCCTTAGCTTTAATTGTACGCTGTTAATTGTTATTTGATTCATATTTTCAAACAGTTTTGCTGGGGTTGTGGTGCTTTTAATCAATTTATCATTTTAATACGGTACTGTAAAATACGTTTTACCACAGTATCAAGTTTTATACGGCGTCCAATGGCAAATACGGAATCACGACGTGAGTGGCAAACATTGATACTGGGACATTATCAAGACGTGGGCATAAAATTAATGTTTTGAATATGATTAAAGTAAACACCTGACATTACCGATGCAATTTTATTATTATTAATAGTACGATAATATTTATGTAGGAAAGTCTGACTGAGTTTCAAAACTTTTTCAGCGAGGTCCAACATGGGATGCTTGATCAATTCTCTAATTGACAATTTTTCCTATGTAAGGCATTGAAGTTCATAGAAAAACACCAAAACACGTATTAGTAGGGGATGACAAAAATATCCACATAGAAGCTACTTCTAATGAGTTACGACCAAAATCCCCCAGAATGTAGCCCAGCTCGGAAGCTGAGCAGGGTTGAATCTGAGTAGCGCTTGGGTGAGCAACAACGATCATGCACATCAAGTTGCAATAGGCTGCTGTGGTGCTGTGTGGTGGACAGCAGAGGGCAGTGAAACAAAGTGCATTATACCACTCTACGATCTCTGTCCTTCGCCAACCCGTTCTGACTGGCGTGGTGAAATATGGTTAAGTAACCCACATGGCATGGGGAGGCCATCACACAGCAGTGGGTTGACAAATGGCTGTAAATGTAAATAGGTCAACAAACCATCTCGGGCGCCTTAGGCACCTCTGCCTACAAGAATGGTATCCCACGTGATCTCTATTGAGATCGTCTAGATTTAAGCAATTGAGACCGAATGCGAATAAAAACCAAAACATTTTATTAATTGTTGGTAATTTCAAACTTGTAGTTTGTGGTAAAGCACGGCCCACAAATGGTCTATTCTGCTGGTATTAAGAAATGGCAGAACATGGATTGCAAACTAATTTACATCATCTAAACATTTACAATTACTGATAATTGCCAGGCATTTTATCATGCTCATGTTAATTTACTTCTCATAATGGACTCATTATGCTATTACTAATGACCACTTATTATAAATGAGTATATAATGTTTACAGATTAGACGTTTGCTTCCGAACAAAGTGCCAAAGCACATTTGTCCTTGTAGCGCCTGGAAAAGGTCCTTATTTAACTTTTTAATAATAGTGACGTTTTTAAGTGCACTGTGTTTAATTCTACTGCAGTGGTATTTAATGCGGTACCATAACGAGATGCGGGGGCCTGAAGGGATTTAACAGATTCTCAACTCTTTTCCGTGACTTGTGTTCCAACGGTGGATTGATATCGCTGCCGAGCCAGTTTCCTTTGAGTTGACAGTTAAATTCCCACTATCCATTCAGCATTTTCTTACGGGAAATGTTGCTGTAAAAGCGGTCGTGAAAGAGTACAAGATCTCTTTCATTAGCTCGCCACTATGATGTGCCAAGTGCCATATAACTGATCCTGAATTTTGAGATTACCGTGAATAAAAAAGTCGTATATTTCGCAATACTGAGAAATTGTCTTAGTTTTATTGGAGTTTTTTTTAAAATAAAAAAATGTTTTTGTAAAGTTATAAATACACTCCTTTTATCGCAACGTTTGGCATACCTAGATAGCTATTTCAGAAAAAAATCATACCACGTTCATTTAAAAAAAATCTTTTATGACATCATGAAACACGTCGTAGTTTATAGCAAATACAAAACACCGCATATACAATTCTATACGCTCCAACTACTTTAGGTTACTATATTTCTTTTATTTGTAATTTTATCCCCAGTAAATCGCAAAGCCTTGCACGGTAATTCCCCAGCGTCCCACCAAAACCACGTGACATCGGAAGAGGGAGCTCTCCGCTGTAATTATCTTTTTTCCCCCATCAATTCATTAAACATTTGTGTGGTCTCGGTTATTAATTAAGCATGCTGATTAACTTGAGTAAAGAAACGGCGTTGATTATCACCACCCGTCCCTGTGCGCTTCGTGATTGGATGGTGGAGTGGTGGAGACATGGGGAGGAGGAGTGATGCCTTTCCCCTATTGGGAATCCTTGTCATATTAAGCATATGCAGGCAGTGACGACGAAGGCCGAAAGCAACGAAGGAGGAGGGGAGGTGTACCCAATTGAAGGCCGACCAATTTGATGAGAAGGTGTCCAAAAACGTAATGATTTTATCATGCAAATACATTTGCCTGAGACAGCTACCTATACTGGAAATAAAACATTTCCAAGGACATATGCATGTTGGAAAGTGTTTACCTATTCCGTGCTTTTGCATGATATATCAACAATAAAAAAAGTTTGTCATGGCTTTTGTTGTCCACATTTTTTTCCACGTTTGTTGAAGGTTTTAAAAATCAGTTATTTGTTTGCTGCTGTATATGCAATTGCACTCTTATATGCATGGCGGTGGTTTTGTTTTTTTGTCCGTGGGCTTATTCAAACTCTCGCGTCTTGCTCTTGTGTATCGTTTTTATTGTAGTAATGCCACATTTTCTCTTAATAAGAATCTTACCTGTGTTACACAATAATAATTTACAGCTGTTTGTAAATCCCCTTGCTGGATGAATAGAAGGCCATGGGGGATGTTTGACCATAGCTCATCACTCTAGTCGGTGTGGTCAATGTGGGACTGACAAAGGGTGACAATTATTATTTTACAATTCCTATTACTCGATAAAAAATGGACTTCAATAGAGATAATGAATCTTAATATAAGCAAGAGGGAATGAATCTCAATTTGACTCTCAACTGGGCGAAAGGACATCAGTTTCAATACCGCTCTCACGTGGGTTAAAGGTTATACTAGTTAAATATTGATAGAGCAATTAATTATACCACTGCGTCGGGTTTTCACGCTTGTGCCGTATAGATCTCTGATGCGTTTTTTTTGCGGCAGTATGCGTGTTGTTTGGCATGGTGTCTGACGTTTCGCGAAATGTGCTGGGAACTTCTTTAGAAATTTAATTGACCAGTTACACTTCCTCCGTTGTATAGCGTCGCAGGCAGAAACGTTGCACGTCATACCGAACAATACGCGCTACAACACCAAGACACATCGAAGAGCAACGAATTATGTAATGCATTCTCTATTAATAAAGGACATCATCAATCCCAATAAAGGTAATCTACTAGATAAAGGTCTGCATCTGTGAGTGTAAATATAAATGCTGGCCTGGCTCTGATCAAGGTAAAATCAAAATTCTGTCAATGATAATAGGGGTTTCCCCTTTTTTCTGGCAACAAAACAGGTATTCATATTCTTGGTTCTTTCGGTAAAGTCACGTAGAAGGGAAATAACAAAATAATAAAAAAATAAACAATAAAATTATCACTACGTTTCGATTGCAACACAAGCAATCATCATCATCAGGTGTGAAAACCACAGCAAGAAAATGTGAAAATTGGCGTTTTTTTCTTACGTTAGCACCATGGACAGCAACTGGCGGTTGTTCAGATGGACGAGCCCATCTATGCTCGGAACTGATGAGGGGAGAGAGAAAAAGAATGGAATGCGGTCTGAAAGTCACCGTGAGCGTGAACACAATCAATTAAGACCCGAAATGGTTTATCAAATCCTTCCAATGATTGCTAAGCCAGAATCCATCTTCTCGGTTGAAATTGTCTGTGTTTGTATATGTGGATAGCCTCATGAACGAATCTCTCATGGTAGCTAGATAGCTTGCAGAAAACCTCTGTCTTGGAGAAGTCAATGTCATGTGAGCCTACTGAATTATAACAGTGATCTGCCACGGCTGAGGTGTTGGTCCTACCGTGTTTAAGGTCTGCTTTGTGTTCACGGATGCGGTCCGAGACGTCGTTTGGTTTCTCCAATGTAACTGCTACCACAGAGGCAACTTAGTTTGTAGACGCCAGGGTACTGTATGTCTGGAATCACATATTTTACAGACTGGACCAGATCACGGATTTTATGTACTGTGTTGAATCGGACCTGGATCTTGTGTTTATTCAAGATTTTGGAGATATTTTTTGTGACCCCCGCAATGTAGGCTAAGGTGATGGCTTTGAATGGCTCCTCAAGAGGGTCCTTCTTCATGGTTGGAGTGATGGCTTTGTGGATTGTGTAGTCGGTGTAACCATTAGCCTAGAGAGCTTGGTGTACGTGCTTGAGTTCACTGGCATTGTGTTCCTAGTCGGAGATGCATTGGGCTCTATGGTGTAGAGTCTTGAGGGAATTCTTCTGGGATGGATGGTGGTGGGAATCCGGTTTTAAGTAAGCATCCGTATGGAAATCGAAACAAAACAGGTGTTAAGATGTTATAACACCAAACTGCAACCTTTTACAAGGAATCATGTCTGCATTAACCACAATGCTCGTGGTCAGAATGCAAACAAAAAAGTACTCTGATAGTATATGCACTGTCCTTGAAACGGATTGGTCCACACCAGAGACAGCAAAGACATTACTCTGATAGTGGCATTGTCTTTGGGCTGTACGCCTTTTGGCGTCCTCTGGTCTAACACCGTTTGAGACGAGGTTCAAAAGAAAGCTGTCTCTGGTGTGGACCAATCAGTTTCAAGGACAGTACATATATTATCAGAGAATGTTTTTTGTTTGCATTCTGGCCACAAGCATTGTGGTTAATGCAGACATGATTCCTTGTGAAAGGTTTCAGTTTGGTGTTTTAACATCTTAACACCTGTTTTGTTGCCAGAAAAAAGGGAAAAAACCTATGATCATATTTTGGTTACTGGCAAAGGAGGTCCCATGATGTAGAATGCTGTCATTCTTAACATGGTTTCCACACGTGTCACATGAAGGCCATCTGCTAAATAAAGGACATCATCAATAGGAATTTACCCAGTCTGGCTCTCACGAGAGTTAAATATGCATTGGTGTAACTTTGCCTTGGAGGAGTATACAAATAAATGACCACCAAGTTTTTCTGGTTTATTTACAACAAATAAGTCATTGCAATTTCAGGCGTGCCTCAATGTGTATGGATGCTCAAAGAAATACTACTAATTTCTAACATTTTCTATGATGACTGTGCACACTAAAATTTTAAACGGTGTTGTTACCAGGTTGAAAATATTCCCTGCCAGGACCTGGTTAGTGCAGCTTAGATGCTCACAGTCATCGGTAAATATCGTTTGGGGGCCGTTTCGAAGTAAAAGGTGATCAAGCGAAAGTAATATCTTGCTCAAATGGTCAATGAAGCGGTGCTCATCTGCTGTTCACAGCCATCAAACCAGTTTTGGAAATTCTGCATTCCTATGGCAGGTGCGATTATATTCATAGGACAACCACTGTTGACTTCCCCGCAAAGTAACACTCATTTTATCGGCCCCAGACGGACGATGGGCTGAGTCAACTCCCAACCAGGATTTCAACTCGCAACCTTTTCATTGACAGCAGCTCGGTTTTTTTTGTTGTTACCATCGAACCACCGAACCACGTGCTTATGGGCCGAATGGAATAACGTCGCGGACTGTCAATGGCCCAAGGGTCGTCGGTTTTTGATCCCTGGTGTGAAAGAATTTAACACATTTGTCAATAACACTGCAATGCCCCGATCCGCAAACACGGAGGCATCACAGCGACACGCTCCGCTACTCCTGACGCTCTTATCTGGGCTTGACCACGTGGATGTGAAATTGTAGCTGTCGCTCTGCATCTCCAGCAGTCGTGCTATGAAAAAGGGCCACTGCCCGAAACGTTGTCTACAGTGAGGGAAAAAAGTATTTGATCCCCTGCTGATTTTGTACGTTTGCCCACTAACAAAGAAATGATCAGTTTAACACGTAGGCTTTCGCGACCAATATTATTCATAATAAAGGTTTTTGGGTTAGATCGCGTTAATTATAAATGTGTCGTAACCCTCCACCACCCGACACGGCCAATCAGCAAAAAAAAAGTGTTGACAAAAGACAAATAGTTCACTACTTTAGCCCACCGGTGTGTTGAGTGAATCCACAACATTTACAGTTTGAGTACGACGTTTCGCTGGTAATTACATCCAGCATCATCGGGCAATTCGCCAGAATGGTAAAGCCCTCGCTTGCTCCCGGTCCCTGCTGCTCTATTTAAGACAGTGCTGTTGACGAATGCGTTGATTTTGATTCCCCTCGTTACTTGTGCTCGTGCACAGCTTGGAAAATTAACGCAGTGTCGCCAAAGAAAGGACTCGATCGGGGGACTTCGGCCCCTGCTGGCAGACCAATGTCCCCCAGCTCACTCTGGCCAACGTCGAGGTATCCCGGTCTCGAGAGCCCTTTTGAGTTTCTCACCTCGGCTAAACCGCACGCGCACGCGATTTCAGAGTTGGAACTTATTGGGAAGGCTTTAAAGCTTTCGCGACTGCAGGAAGTCATATTATTTGGGTCTTTCGGTAAAGTCACGTAGAACAAATAAAATTAACAAGAGGCCGTCCATAAATGACGTCACGAACCTGGGGGGGGGGGGGGGTGGTGGGGGGTTCAGACATTTGTGACGATGTGTGACGAGGGGGGAGGGGTTTGAGAAATGTGACGTCACATCAAAATGCGCAACTTTAAATAAATATAGACAACACGTTCTACTTATTTTGTGCCAGTTAAAAGGGTAAAACCTATTTCTATATCTTGTTTCTGGCAAAGGAGGTCTCATAATGTTAATGCTCACCCCGAGCCCTCAATACTCTGATAGTGCGCTGTTTTTGAGTTGTACGCCTTTCGGCGTCTTCTGGTCCAACACCAATGGAGACTAGGCTCTAAGAAAAGCCGTCTCGGGTGTGGACCAATCAAATTCAAGGACAGTGCATATTATTATCAGAGTTGTCTTTTTTGTTTGCATTTTGACTGCTTGTGTTGTGGTCATTGCAAACATGATGCCTTGAATAAAGGTGTCAGTTTTTGTGCCAGTTAAAAGGGTAAAACCTATTTCTATACGTTCTACTTAATTAAATAGACTTTTTAAGAAATGTTTTCTCCTACAACATCAGAGTGCAGCGGCACATTAAATATGCACTACGATGACAATAGTTTAAAGTGATTTGAAGCTTGTTTTATGTTTTTTGGGGGGGGGCAGAGCTTTGTGACGTCATATTTGGGGGGGGGTCTGATTTTTTGTGACGCCGTGTGACGATGGGGGGGAGGGGGTCAAAAATCGTCCAAAATCGTGTGAGGTCATTTATGGACGGCCCCTAAACCACACGCGCACACGATGCAAAGTTGGAACTTATTGTAAAGGCTTTAAAGCTTTCGCTACTGCAGGAATTCATATTATTTGGGTCTTTCGGTAAAGTCACGTAGAGCAAATACAAATTAACAAAAAAACTACGACGTTTCGATCGCAACACAAGCAATTTATTGCTAATTTATTTTTTGTGTTCTACGTGACTTTACCGAAAGACCCAAATAATTATTGTGAAGGGTTGTTTACAATTGAGTGTGAGCTGCGGTAGAGGGGGCGGGGTGGAGGAGGGGAGGGGGAGGGGCATGGGCATGTGGCCCCGCCCACAGGAGGGAACCCGGAAGCGGCACGCACGTGTTCGCGCGCGCCGCCCCCAATCGTCGTCATCATCATCATCATCGCCGCCGCCGCCACTGTCAGAAAATCGTGAGCGCCTTAGGCAGAATGAGCCCTCGCTCCTGTCGACAGCCATGGACGAACGCACGCTCGTAATTCGCATAAAGACGCCGGATGGAAACGACGTCGATTGGAGCGTCGACCCCATTCCGCAGCTCTATTTCAGAGACGTGCTGGTGAGAGACGACACTTCAACCCCGACCGCCCCCACCCCCCCCGTGGGCAGGGGGTCCACCACCGCCCTCGTCCGGCTTCGGTCGCTAGGCGAGCGCGCTGGTCTCGATCCAGGCCTCGAGAGTTATCGCGCGAGTTTTATTTTATTTTAACGAGAGACGCGAGTTGGGAAGACGACTTTGAGGATTGAGTTCCGCGTGGTGGTCAAGCGACCGCTTGCTTTGACAGCTCTTTAAAGTGGCCACCGGGGCCCATTGACAAGCGAAAGTTTCGTTTCTTTGAGAGGGGGACCCGGCTACAAAGCAGTGCAGCAGCAGTGAGCGTTAACAATCTGAACGTCTAAACATGATAGCAATGCGAACGTTAAACAACAAAGGGGCCGTCCAATAAATGACGTCAAGCACATAGGGGGGGAAGGGGGGTCAGACATTTGTGACGATGTGTGACGAGAGGGGGGGGGGGGGGTGAGAAATGTGACGTCACATCAAAATGCGCAACTTTAAATAAATATGGACAACACGTTCTACTTAAATTTTGATTTAAAGCTTTCGTGACTGCAGTAATTCATATTCTTAGTTCTTTCGGTAAAGTCACGTTGAAGGGAAACAACAAAATAATAAAATATATATAAAAACTATATATTTTATTATTTTGTTGTTTCCCTTCAACGTGACTTTACCGAAAGAACTAAGAATACGCTCTACTTAATTCAATAGACTTTTTAATGTTTTCTCCTACAACATCAGAGTGCAGCGCCACATTAAATACGCACTACAATGACAATAGTTTAAAGCGGTTTGAAGCATGTTTTATTTTCAAAATGGAAATATGGTTTGGGGGGTGGGGCAGAGCTTTGTGACGTCATATTTGCGGGGGGGGGTCTAACTTTGTGACGCCGTGTGACGAGGGGAGGGGGTCAAAAATCGTCCAAAATCGCGTGACGCCATTTATGGGCGGCCCCAAACTACAGAGAATTTAGTCTGGCGAATTGCCCGATGATGCTGGATGTATTTACCAGCGAAACGTTTTTTTGCTGATTGGCTGTGTCGGGTGGTGGAGGGTTACGACACATTTATAAATAAACGCGATCTAACACAAAAAACCTTTATTATGAATTAGTCAACACTGTCGGCAATTAACAATAATAAGTGTGCACACACATACAAAACTAATCAATTTTAGCGAGACATGTTTTGCTGCGAAGTGGCGGTGTAGTTGAACGGGCAATGCCGTGAGTAAGTACGCTGCTTACGAAATGTGGGCGTTCTTGTGCTCGCTTCATAATAAAGTTATTAATCATCGTTTCGCCCTTCTTCTTTGCACGAGATAAATAACCGTTCGACAACGCCTGCATTGACCAAAACTTGTCCAACACAAATCTGAACGGCTGCGGTTGAGATGGCCCCATGGGTTGCAACGTGGAGAAATGTGGGCCAAATTTCACCTGGTTTTAATTGGCTGTTAATTCCAGCGGATTGCAACAAAGCCGCGTTTTGTTCCCTTCGTGTCCAAAAATAAATTCGAAATTGAGTCTCAAAGACGCATTCTTTCAAGAGCGTGCGAGGCATCGAGGTCGCGTGCCTATGACGCGTACGTCCGTGCGTTTGACCTGTTTACTATGTGCGGACGTCCATTTGCTGTATTGTACAGCCGAATACACACACACGCGCACACACACGCGCACAATTGGGGCTCACTAAATGGACTAGCGTTTACCAGATTATAACGGTGTTCATACCGTCGAGCCAAGTCGTGCTGTGGAAGTCCACGCATGCATGGAATGACATCGTGTTTTAAGAAGAGAAACACAAAGGTTCGAGTTAAATACATCGTATACTATGAACTAAAAATTTTTATTGACCAGGTAAGGCCCACTGAGCTATTTAGCTCTCTTTCAGAAGCGACCTGGCCACAAATTATATCCTAAATGTGGTTGCATCCAAATACTCTCTAAACGCGTGTGTCTAATGTGAAGGGAAAAACCGCAGGACCCGGAGGAAAATCCACGTGACCACGGGGAGAACATGCAAACTCCAAATATACAGGCGTCAAGGGTCAGGATCGAACCCACGGCCTCCTGTATACCAGGCGGGACAGTTAACATCTCACCACCGCGGCGCCCCTGATATTGTTGCCTGTTTAGACAATTCAGTGGGCTTGGGCCAGACATTTCACTGGACGGGGATGAGGGCCGTTGGTTCAGCCTAAGACAGAGTGACAACCAAAGGAAGGAACACGGCGACTGGATGTCTACCGTGCAGACGGAGCAATAAGATCATCTACTGTTGCCAGATGGATCGTTGTATCACAAGACGGTGAAATATAATGATTGTTTGGGGAGGTCATCATCTGCCGGGAGATATAATATGGTTGTTAAGGATCAAGTGCAGCCGTGATCATAAAGTGCAACTCGCATTTTCAGGGTTACGAGTTCAACTGCCGACTGGGATGGACTGCGCCCTCATCCCTTTTGTGGTTGATAAAATACGTATCACTTTTATGAAATTGCGAGGAGTACTTTAGATTCCCTTGCCCCTGCCATAGGAATATGACATTTCTAAAATTGATTCAGGGCTTCAAACTGGAGATGAGGGTCGACCCATTCTAGATGAATGGGAACTTAACAACAATTCACTTGGGGACTGCCAATGCATGAAATACCCACATCAGTGTTGTAGCGAACAATACCTTGCGGTACAGGTCACACATGCCACCCTCTGACTCTGACCTTTCTCTTTGGGCTTGCCAAAAGTGTCGTTTTCTTAAGCCAGATGGGAAGTGGTGCATTGTGGTTGGCATGGACCCAGGCGCGAGGAATTAATTGGTGCTCCATGTCCAATTCCCCCCCCCCCCGCCCCCCCCCCAATTCATAGTCCGGTGCCTAGGTCCCAGCTGCAGTTGTAGTACCTGCACACTCGATAGCTATGCCACTGCGAGACAGTCAGTTTGCCACGATGGTCATCTTGTCGCTTTTGTCATCCTGTGTGGCGGCACTTGAGACCAGAATCACTCAGTGGCGCTTGCCTGGCTGTCCCTGGGGTCCGTTGTTGGTGGCTGGGCCCCTGATCTCTGTCCTCTCTCCCATGCTTCCCTTCCCTTACTCTGCCCCCCCCCCATATACTCTTTTGTTAAAGTGCATTGAGATTGCTTTGCATTTAAATGCCCAAAAAATAATGCTGTTGAACTTTATAAGCCCCCCCCAAAACGAATTTCCGATCCACCGCCTCCTCCAGCCTCTGAGCTAAAGAGACGGCAAACATCTTACATATGTTCCTCTCTTTATCCAGCATTGATCCATCCGTTCCTTTACAGCTAATCGTTGCGCAGTGAGACAGGGCTATTCCTCTGCACAGCGCAATACGTCGCCACGGCTCGTGGACGTCTTGTTCCACTAGCGGACTCCAATATCAACGTTTCCCATGAGCCGTTTGCATCAGTGCGGGGTAGATATTGAGTGTGCAGGCAGTGCAACTACACTGGTGCCCATGGATTGGCAGTGCCTAGGCACCTTCATCTCACCAGGGCCTATACCAACTGCGCTATGCCACTGGTTTGTATTGGTTACCAAAAGTGATTTTTTTTATTATTATACGGGCCAACCTCTGTCTGGTTTTGATTTTTTTGAGTCTTCTCAGCAAGGCGCGGCCCATTAATAATCCGCATTAACAACAGTGTGGAGCAAATGCTCAAAAGGCTTCTTGTGGTCATGGAGAAGTAGCAATAAAATAGTGGCTTCCAAAGGAGGAAACGCGCCCGGGAGGACACGCACCGCAGAGATTGGGTGATGAAATCTGCTCGTGTGCAGAAACTAGACGCGGGCTCTTGCATCGCCAGACCGTGCGTGAGATTTGGTGATGGCTCGGGGAGTCCTTTATCCAGCAGTGGGTAGATCTTGGCTGATGATAACAATCCCTTGTCTTTTAAGTGCTCTATCTCACATTGTGATGGCCCCGAGGATCCTCCGTACTCTCCATCCCACTACAAATGCAACGTGCACAATTTTCTGGTCATTACTTCGACTCGGCGAATCAGTTCCTCAGTCAATGAGTCTGGCTCTCATTTGGCTAATTTCCCCTCATGAATGCAAACAGCCGTAGAGAGTTTTAATACCAACGTAGAGAGTTTTAATACCAACGTAGAGAGTTTTAATGCCAACGTAGAGAGTTTAAATACCAACGTAGAGAGTTTTAATACCAACGTAGAGAGTTTTAATACCAACGTGGAGAGTTTTAATACCAACGTAGAGAGTTTTAATACCAACGTAGAGAGATTAATACCAACGTGGAGAGTTTTAATACCAACGTAGAGAGTTTTAATACCACAGTAGGGAGTTTTAATACCAACGTAGAGCGTTTTGATACCAACGTAGAGAGTTTTAATACCAACGTAGAGAGTTTTAATACCAACGTAGAGAGTTTTAATACCACAGTAGGGAGTTTTAATACCAACGTAGAGCGTTTTGATACCAACGTAGAGAGTTTTAATACCAACGTAGAGAGTTTTAATACCAACGTAGAGAGTTTTAATACCAACGTAGAGAGTTTTAATACCACAGTAGGGAGTTTTAATACCAACGTAGAGCGTTTTGATACCAACGTAGAGAGTTTTAATACCAACGTAGAGAGTTTTAATACCAACGTAGAGAGTTTTAATACCAACGTAGAGAGTTTTAATACCAACGTAGAGAGTTTTAATACCAACGTAGAGAGTTTTGATACCAACGTGGAGAGTTTTAATACCAACGTAGAGAGTTTTAATACCAACGTAGAGAGTTTTAATACCAACGTAGAGAGTTTTAATACCACAGTAGGGAGTTTTAATACCAACGTAGAGCGTTTTGATACCAACGTAGAGAGTTTTAATACCAACGTAGAGAGTTTTAATACCAACGTAGAGAGTTTTAATACCAACGTAGAGAGTTTTAATACCAACGTAGAGAGTTTTAATACCACAGTAGGGAGTTTTAATACCAACGTAGAGCGTTTTGATACCAACGTAGAGAGTTTTAATACCAACGTAGAGAGTTTTAATACCAACGTAGAGAGTTTTAATACCAACGTAGAGAGTTTTAATACCAACGTAGAGAGTTTTAATACCAACGTAGAGAGTTTTAATACCAACGTAGAGAGTTTTAATACCAACGTGGAGAGTTTTAATACCAACGTAGAGAGTTTTAATACCAACGTAGAGAGTTTTGATACCAACGTAGAGAGTTTTGATACCAACGTAGAGAGTTTTAATACCAACGTAGAGAGTTTTAATACCAACGTGGAGAGTTTTAATACCAACGTAGAGAGTTTTGATACCAACGTAGAGAGTTTTGATACCAACGTAGAGAGTTTTAATACCAACGTAGAGAGTTTTAATACCAACGTAGAGAGTTTTAATACCAACGTAGAGAGTTTTAATACCAACGTAGAGAGTTTTAATACCAACGTAGAGAGTTTTAATACCAACGTAGAGAGTTTTAATACCAACGTAGAGAGTTTTAATACCAACGTGGAGAGTTTTAATACCAACGTAGAGAGTTTTGATACCAACGTAGAGAGTTTTAATACCAACGTAGAGAGTTTTAATACCAACGTGGAGAGTTTTAATACCAACGTAGAGAGTTTTGATACCAACGTAGAGAGTTTTGATACCAACGTAGAGAGTTTTAATACCAACGTAGAGAGTTTTAATACCAACGTAGAGAGTTTTAATACCAACGTAGAGAGTTTTAATACCAACGTAGGGAGTTTTGATACCAACGTAGAGAGTTTTAATACCAACGTGGAGAGTTTTAATACCAACGTAGAGAGTTTTAATACCAACGTCGTTTCCCCAAGTACCCTTTCTAGGCTACGGACACACTGGGCAAAATGTAAAGTATCACAACTCCTACTGACAATCTTCACCGATCGCAGCTGTCCGCACCGTTTTCATGCGGTTTTACAGGTGGGAAAAAAACCCACTTTCGGCCTCGGCTATCGTCGTGCAAGTCGCCAATGTTGCTCAAAGCAAAAGGAGTTGTCGGTTGAAGATTTCCACTAACGGTTGCTCAAATAAATTGCCTTTTGGCTTCTTGTAGCTGCGAGTTTATTGTCCCCCCCCCGTACCTCCGATTCGCACGGTTGGCTACGTACGGTGCGAAAGAAGTTCAACACACATGCACAATTAGAGGAGGAGCGCGTGGAGGCGTCACTGCCACGCTGGCCACGTTCGAGCCAGCAGGGGGCACTCACCGCTCCCGTATTTGACAGAAAGAACGAGGAAAGGAATTACCCCCCCACCCCACTGTGCTGTTTGTGCGTGCACACGGCGCAGAACACACCGCGGTGCAGACGCAAAACAAATGGCCAAACTGTGATGGGGAGTGAAGGAGGCCGCCGCCGCCGCCGTTACACATTCTCAGATGTCTCCTTTATATTTTTTTTGTCAGGATGTCATCAGTCAAGTCCTCCCTGAGGCCACGACCACAGCCTTTGAATGTGAGTTTTTTTTCTCTCCTCCGTCCTGTGTGGTTCCGTACACCCTATTTGCATCTGATTATGCAGAGGGGTTTTTTTTTCCGTGGCAATTTATATACTTATTACCCTTTAAATATTCGCGCAATTTTTTTGAGGCGCGGATTATTTGGTGGGCGAGCGATAAGTTTTGAAGGCTGATAATTTAACGGAAGGACCCTGGGTTTTTATCTTGTTTTGTAATGCTTCGCATTTAGAGATTCGGTTTGAGAAATTGAATTTTAGTGACTAATCTCAACGGGAATGACATCTCGGTGTCAATACTTAGAGGTTTTTTTTGCTTGCATTAAAAAATAACTTTTCCTTTCAAGGTTTAATAAAATATAGTATTTCTTTACAATTTTTCATTTACAATAAGTATTATTCTATCAGCCAATAACACGATGATGGAGGAAAAAAAAAACCCCACCAAATTGATTTTTTCTTTTTTTTCTTTGTAACTCGTGATATTCCATATCTTACATTAAAAAAGCAAGAAATCCACATGAATACGGTAGACGACGGGCTGTTTAAACGAAATCGCATTTGAAAGGTTTAAAAAGATATGTTTTTTTTTTTCTCTCTCCCTCTCTCCCTTTCAGACGAGGATGAGGATGGCGATAGAATCACCGTTCGGAGCGACGACGAAATGAAAGCCATGCTGGCCTATGTGTGTTCCGCGTGCGTCACATTATAGAGCCTGCCAATGTTAAATTGTGAATCAAACATTGGCGAGCACCACTTGAAGGTGCATGAAAGGAAGCTGAAAATTAATTTTGGACCGATCGCAGAAGGGGCCTGGCCGTGCCACAATGCCGAGCCAAATCGAAAATTCAAACAAACCAACGAGACTCCCCGAGCATTCGATGCGCGTGCGCTCATTTAATTGCGCTAAAATGGCGACGTTAATTTTTTCGGGGGGTGGGGGGAGGTGGGAACTTTTTGGAATGATTGCGTTTAAAACACAACGATGCCACTTCTCTTGGCTGTCCGCGTGTGACTTTTGTGACGTGGCTTCGCTTGAATTGCGACGCCTAATTCTGCGCGTTTCACATTTATTTGCACGCTTGTTTACCCGCCGCGGGAATATCCTGTCTCGTAGAAATGCTTTGGCCGTCTCCACGGCAGTTTTTGCCCCATTGTAAACAGTTTGCCCTGACTCTCGCCCTTCACTTGTGTTCTCAAAACATCCGCTCCCTGCGTGTCCACGAGAGTTGATTTGAGGGCTGAGGTGTGCTGAGACTCACTGAGACGCTGTCTCTTCGCAGTACCTGGGCACGATGCATGACATGCAGATGTCCGGGGAAATGGTGGAGCCTTTGAACATCTACCCGAGGGGTAAGAGCCAGATTTGAAGTCATTCTTGTATTTTGCTGCTGCTGTTGCTGCTGCGATGCTCCCTTGTGAAGATAGCCCCTTGGGGAGGGCAGGTGGGGTAGAGGAAGGGGTGGAGGTGGGCACCATGGTAGAGAGTTGGTTGTTACGTATAATTTAAAGTTCATTTAAACATTAAAATTGGTTGCGTTTATTTTTGTAACCTCTATGTGCGCAATGTCCCTTGTGGTTTTGTGATGGTGCTGTGAGAGAATGGTCAACAAGAGGCATGTCACAATTCTTCCCAGATTCTCTTAATCTTTGCAATTCTCCTGGGTGATTCGGTTCACAAAATTAGTAATTTTTGTAAAGAGTATATATTTAATAGACACGTAGCGATTAATTCCCCCAGTAATTTTAGGAATTATCACGATTCGGGGTTCTGGAATTGTTTAAGGAATGTTTTATTTTTTGTCTCGTTTTCATCATCTCATTTGTATTTTTTAAAATGATCTTTCTCATACCTACACTTTGGTTCGCTTCATTATCCTCAATGTGACAAAACCGTTTCTTTGCCATATAATTTGCATACGGCAAAAATAATTGATTCCGCAGGCATAAAAACGACCACGTTTACTCGATGCATTGTTACGTGCTTACGCTTTTATTAATGATCCCAGCACTTGTGTCAGCCGGCTTGCAGACAAACGGTGTAGTTCATGCAAGCGCCTGCTGGAGAAGTGAAAACAAAAAATGAAACCTCGGGACGGCTTTGCTGACCGACCGAACGCACGCGTTGTCACGTCGTGACCCAGAAGGGGCGACGGCGATCGCTCGCTCAGCGCGGCTCGCTCTGCTTGGCTCGGCTTGCCGAGTAGGCCCACACCGTGCCGGCGCCGTGACACGTTAACACTCCCTTAACTAAATAAAAAATGGAATAGTTAAAAAGGTAATTGATGGCCGGTGGACAAGGAGCTCGCTTAAAAAGAGGCCCTGGTGGCCGTGGAATCTGTCAAAGGCGACGGCTCGGCGACCGGTAACATATGGGAGCCATTTAAAAGAAGTCCTTGCCTGGAGTGATCGTCATGAAGCCACCACGCCTGCCCGCCCGCCCGCCCGCTCGCTCGCTCGCTTACTCGCCCGCTTGCCCGCCCGCCCGCCCGTCCGCTCGCTCGCTCTGTCCATCATTTTTTCCCGCCGCTAATTTTCGCGGCCGTTTCAATTTTCCTTCCCCGCGCGCAATTCATTTTCTGACATATTTATAAATCGCTTGAATACGACTCCCCAATTTAGCTCAATTACTCTGTTCCAGCTTGCAAGCCACCAGGGAAGCGAAACATACACGGCCTGAAGGTAATCATTTCAATAATTGTTTTAAGAGGGGGGGTCGGTGGGGTGGTTGTGGGTGTTGGGGAATGGGGAGGAGGTTGGTGTCGGGGGGGAGGGAGGGGGTGGGTGAGCAGGCCATAAATTTGTAATGCTGATGTAGATTGGCTAAATGTGGGCAAAGGAATTTCAACAGCTGCTTTATTGCGAAGCGTTTGACATTAGTCGAGCCTTTTGACACACTGCACGTTGATTTCATTTCGTTTTAACCGTTACATATTACCGCATCACTGCCTCTGTTAAACAATTGAAAGTCCCATTTCAATTGTTTAACTATTTTTTTCTCCTTTGATGTCCATACACAGGTATAAAAAAAAAATCGGAGATTTTCTTTTCATCTTTGGAAAATAACGGGGTGGCAGATATGAAATACATGATCGGTTGTGACAATTGTTACCTTAATATATCGAATAAAGGGCACTGCAAGAACATGCACTTCATAAAAAAAATTCTAATAATTTTCAACCCAAAATACTGTATTTAAAAAGCCATCATCACTACACTGGCATAGCCAACAGTGAACGAGGTATTAGCTTGTGCAAAGCATTAAGGGGAGGTAGCGTTTTTCGGGAAAAAAATATTTTATAAATGTATATATATAAAAAAATCCCTCTCTGCGTCCGGTTGGCTCCTTTGCCGTCGGCGGAACCTGCCGACAGAATAATTAACCTTGGCAGGGAGGCGGGACGCGGGCTAATTAGGAGGCAGCGCTTGGCAGCGCCCGCGTTCGCACGTGACGCGACCGCCTCCCCTGCTGACCGCCCGCAGGTAAACACGCGCGCCGGGCCAGGGAGCGGGGCCACCGCCTCCACCGCCAGCACGAGCGACAGCGGCGGCAGTAGCGGCCTCCCCACCAACAGGTACCGGACGGACGGCTGACGCACGAGAGTCGCACGTCGCTTGAGCCGGTCGTCGCGCCTCGCAAGCCGATCGCCCGGCTTCGGGACGGTTTTTCCACCCGCACAACGGCACGGCCTTTAATTCCACTGAAATGCGATTCGGCAAGCCCACGAGTTCAGGGACGGAACGTTTCGCACTTTCAGCCCCCTGTTTAATGGTAATGGACAGTTCTAAGATATCGGGCGCACGTATCGCAATTTAAACCCCCTCTCCTCCACCCCCCCCCCCCCACCTGAAATACAAGTGAGGTGTTCCACAATTTTGGCAGTACATTTCAGGCACTTCACTCATGTGGGTAATCATTGGTAGAATAATAAAAGTTTGCTTTTGATCTAGGCAACAGATTAGTATTCTGTAATGCGGAGATAATATATATTTTTTATTACGACCTGACCTGGACGGCGTGCAAAACATTTCTTTGAGACGATTGTAACAGAACAGCAAATCTGCGTCCCTTCACAATACACAGTGGAATTTTGAGAGAATAGCAGGGAGTGCGCAACGGTGCGCGTGTTTGGACAGGGAAAGGAGAGAGAATGGGGATTTCACGCCGTTAGCCGTCCATTGCAGCGAACGGACGGCAACGTGTCCGTGAAAGTGACCCCGTCGAAATTTGGACAACATTCCATAATGCACTTACTAATTGAGGTTCATTTATTTAAAATATCGGACAGGAAAAATGCAAACAATGCGATCGTGCTCATTAAGATTTTGTACGTTATATATAATCTGGCGTGGAGTGTGCAGGTAGCACATGAAACAAAGTATTTCCAGGGTTTTCGATGAAGAGACTTGTTCCTCTGAAACAGTGAGAGTCTCGAGGATGACAAATATGACAACGTCAGCTATAGGAGCCATCTATCAACTCAGGCCACCAGCGGCTCCATACATTGCCACGATTCGGGGTCACGATTTGTCTCTTTTGTGTTGTCCATCTCGTTGGTGTAGTTTTGTTCATTGCCTTTTCCTAAATCTAACAATAATAGATAATTGCATATAATTTTCATGAATAGTAAACACGACATTATCTCGCATCGTGCATTGATGAATCGATCCGTCGTTACATGCATACTCTTAAGATATATTATTAGCTACAACAATATATTTGTAGATACATGCCAAACTTCTACAATGCAATTTACATTCACATATTTGCGTCAAAATGCAGCCACATCTCCAGGCACTTCACGGTGAAGAAAAAAAACCTAGCTATATGCAAATATTGTTAATTGTGAAAATATTTAACACTCAATAGTATCACTTAGTTTAGCGCACAAATTCTCAAAAAGGAAAATAAAGCTTTAAACCATAAACAAAACATGCAAAGATAATTGTTCAACCGCCACGGACAGGAAAAAAAAATATTACTACTGATTTATGAAGAAGAAGAAGAAAAAAAGCAATCCATGTCGTTGATAGTCCGGTGCGGTGGCCACATTTTACCCAGTGACCTCGGCGCATGTTCACCGGAGTCGCTGGCCACTCGTCGGCCGTATGGAGATGAGGAGGGGCGGGTGGGGGGGGGGGGAGGGGGCAGCCCCGAGGGCAGAGCCCTCGTGCGTTCTGGGCAGCGCTGTGGCATCACCGAGGCTCTCCGTCCTTCAGAGGCGATGCTAATTTGTTAGTCCCGTTCGCTGGCGGACGTTTAAAAGATCCCCCGACGCTCCGCCAGAACAGTGGGGCTGCGGCGTGCCCGTGTCGCGCCTAAATTAACCAGCCGCTATTAAAGGCATATTCCCCTTACGCCAACGGCAGCCTCCTTCAAAACTCCGTCCAGGGCAGCTGAACGCAGCCGCCCAGAATAAATCATTTCTGTAATGGCGATGTTGTCGGGATTGCGGTCACTAATGGCATGCGGGGATGATGCGTTTTTTTTTATTTTGGTCCACGCGAGTGTACGTGTGAAATGTACGTAAGTGCTTACGAGCCGTGCCCTGCCAAGCGAACGTGACCCACCTCCGTACTGGGACACGCCAAACCGCTGCAATAAAAATGGAGTGCCCCGAACGCTCCATGAGTATCGGCTTATCGGTTGAAACGGATTGTCTGCCTGACCCTCCCCGTGTTTTTCATTGCAGTTTAAAGAAGCCCTCGGCAGAGCTGAATAAGATCCTGGCGAACGAGCAGGTACACAAAAGGATCGCGGCCGCTCGAACGCTCCCCCGTCCCTGCATGCACGGGCTCAAGCGCCGTGCTCGCACGTCTCTACTACGCTGAAAGCGGCGGCGTTGAATCCCTGCCCCAGTCGCACCGCCACGCATCCTGTGTCTCTCTTCTTGTCTTCTTTAATCGTTGGCGTCGTTTTTTTTGCGCGATTCCTGTCATAGATGCATAATGCGGCAGTAACCCCCCCCCCACCCTCCCCCCCCATGTTTCAATTTGTTTTTTCAAATGCGCTGCCCTATTTTTGTAAGGTGACTGCGATGCCATTTGCTTCTTTATTGTTCGTTATTTTTCTTCACAATGAGCGGCGAGTTGTTTTTTTTTGGTCGTTATTACAGAAAAGTTTGGAAATTAAAGCCGTCTTTACCTTCATGAAAACGTAACCCGAGGGCATCCTTTGCCAGATGCGGCGCGCTCCCGTTTTGCTCTGGCGAGCGGAATGAATCTCTCTTTTTGCTCTTTCGCTCACCGACTGGAGCCGGTAGTAAGCGCGCACCATGATGCTGATTTGCTGTTTTTTTGTACAGACACATAAGAGCCACGCCATTCTTTATTCATCCAGGAAAGCCCTTTAACTGTTAAGTCTCAGAACTCTCTTCTTTCTTTTTTAGGAGACTTTTTCTTAAGGTCATTTGGCCAAACACGTCGTTGGAAACGATAGCAGCCAGTGAAAACGTGCGCATGCCGCAATTGTAGCGCTCAAATGCAGCACAGAATGGTCACCAACGAACTTTATGTACCGCCATCTACTGGCCAACTTCTCTGCAGATCAGTGTCCAGGTGCACAAAATAATCTCGTCGCCATCCACCATCCCGGCCTCCGCACGAGGCCTGTAACGATTCTCCCCCAGTCACGATTCAATGATTTGTCGCAATTCTGGGATTGTTATTCGATTCAATCGTCGAGGCCCATTTGACCATTTTGGTGACTTAGCGGCATCTGGCGGCCGCAGAGGTCACTTGAAAACCAATTGCCAACGACGTATGGGGATAGAAAACGAATTAATGTTTGCACATGCGGTTGGAGGCATTTATCTTGAACTTATGAGTTGATTTTCATCGATGAATTGTAACTTCGTTAAACCCCTGCTTGACAACAATATTGTACCTCTGCGCTATTTCCTGCTTGGTTAGTGGAGCATTTCGAAGCTTTATCGGTGTACCATATTTTTTTTGTATTCAGTTGTGAAATTGAACGACGTGCGGCGTTCGTACTCATCAGCCGTTATCAATCCACTGCTGGATAAGGGCCTCCTCAAGCCGGTTGTCATTTCCTGTGCAGCGTTTAGCTCTCGCACTGGAGCTGATTTCGTCGCTCCATCTCATCGTCGGTCGTCCTCGGGCGTGTTCTCTCCGTTGGCCCTCACTCACCAGCCATCGACAATCACGGTGACCAAGTCAACTTTAGGATCCTAAGGGTGAATTGTTTATGCCAGAGTCTCATAGAGCCAAACTAAGGCACCCTTTTTGAGTCTAGGCATCCGATGCTAATCCCTGAGGCTCATAAAGCCAGACTTAGGATACTTTGATTTCCTAGGGTTCAGTGTTAATGCCCAGGTCTGAAAGCCAGAATAATGCACCTTTAGATTCTTAGGGTCTACCATAATTGTCCAAGGCTCGGTTGGGTGAGTGGCATTGCCGTGGGAGATTACCTTAGCGTATATATACACACACACACACACTCTATTTACAATAAATCACGAAGCCCTTGTAATTATAACAGACCTACAAATCCAGATGGGTCCAGCCCCATTTGTATCTGTCCCCTGCTGCCATGGCTCGGCGTAGCATTTTTTTTCAAGTTCTCCGCTTCCGAGTCTCTGGGCGAAAGTTTGAACAAAACGAGACGACTTTTCCCCATCCACCCTGCTCGCATCCTCGCTCGCTTCTCCGCCCCTTATATATTTATTTGCCCGCTTGATACATATCTTTACGAAAACAAAATTATTTTCAGGTCGCGGCATAGCACAAAAGGCGTTCATCAAATTGCAGTTGCCGGGCTGCCCAAACTCGTTTAGCAAAATAAATAGGGCCGTGTGAATGGACAGAGGTCGGGTCCATTTTTCCCGTAAGTGTCTGTTTTGTGGGAGCGATGACAGCGGGGTTGGTGTTGACCCTCACCCCGGCAGTCAGACTCAATCAGTTTTCATCCTGCGGACAGACAAGCCCGCTCGTGTGTTACGCAAGGGGACGGGGGCGGGGGACCCCAGGCAAAAGCACTGGGGGGAGCGGGGGGGGGGGGGTTTGAATGTTTTTTCTCTTTTGTAATCGCGAGGGTTGGGGGGGGGGTGTGAATTCGTGTGTGTGTGTGTGTGCTTGCGTTGGTGGATGTGGGGACTGTGGATAGAGAAAAGCGACAGATTGATGGACAAGAGATGGAAAGTGGTGCTTGTGCACACACACGCACACGTGCGCGCGTCCGCATAAATAGAGACGTACGAAAGAACGGAATTAACGCACCGAAGGCATCTTTTTGTTTTCTTCTTCAGTGGCCTCGCGTGAAAGGTTTTGAGATCGGTTCAATTAAAGTTGCAGGTCTCCCGAAAGCCCTATTTTGTCAAATATTAATTGAACAGCAGCCTATTCCTTCCTTTGTAGCCCTATGCGTTCCTCATACCGCTGCATTCACGTTGATAAATGTAATAATTTTTCGTTTTCTTGAATCTTTTCATTGGTTGCGCGCAATACAAATTGATATAAATATGTTCTTCCCAGCTCGTCCTGGAAGCGCTCCGTAGTCTTTATTCTCTTGCGAGCAGTAAAGAGACATCCACGTGGTTACAGCAAAAGGATTTTATTTTATTTTTCTGCGCGGCAGTTCCCTCCCGAAACCGAGCCTCCGCGCTATTAAACGGGACCTGCCTTGTTAACGACTCGCGGCTATCGACTGCCGTCGCGCGGACGCGCAATATCAGCTCGCGCTGGCGAAAAAGACTCGTTAGGAGGAGGAAAAATCGCAACTGACAGCCCAATATTGACCTCATCAGGCGTTCAGTAAAAACGAAAACGGGCCGCGCGGCCCCGCGCTCCCCGCGCACCGCCGATATTGACAGGTTCGAAACGACCGCTCGCGGCCTCGGATTGACGAATGTCGCGTGGCGAGATTGTTATTGTAATAGATCTATTACTCCGAAATTTGTCCGTAATGGGCGAGATTGATTGGGGCGGTTGGAATGGCCCCTAAATTTGTCTCGATGATATTTCGCTCCCTGGCCGAAAGGTCGAGCGGCGAAATGGCAATCGCTCTAATTATTTACAAAAAAGAAGTGTCGTTTCTCGTCGGCGCGTATTGGCTGCCATTTCGTTTTTATGAGGGCGAAATTGTGATTGGTGGACGGCCGTCGCCATCCGTTTAAATTTGTCCACTCGTGACCAAGAGGGTAACCTATTAAAGGGTCGAGGCGGCCGAGCCTGATGGCGCAATATGAAATCCATCTGGTTAAGGTCGTGTTTACAAAAAATCAATAGCGGAGGGGAAATATTGCTTCAAACGGACATGATATTTTGGAAGTGACAGGTATTTTCATCACTGGTACTTTGTTGGCGTCGTGAAGGTTTAAGCGCTAGGACGGATGAGACAGGGGCCCTTGCTCTTAAGTGCCGACACGTTGCCTTCATTACCACTTACTAACACGGTAAAAAAAAACCGGTGCAACAAACGGCCATTGATTTTTATTTAGATTGCAATTTAATTTTGAATATGGTGTTGAGGAAGCTCATTATTTATTCAGTGTCAAAATCAATGGCTTAGCTATGTGGGGGAAAGTCAGTGTCTAGTGTACGAAAGGTTAAGTTATAATTTTGGCATTTCAACATTGGATTTTTGTTGAGTTTATAATTTAATTTTATTATGAAATGTTTTGACAGTGTCCCAATTTAGAATTCTTGCTGGAGCGTTATGCTTTACGTGGATGTAATTTTAAAACAAAAAGTCCCTCCAGCGATCATTGCACAAGCGTATTTTAATTATTGTTGCGATTATGTTATTGGTATAATATTTTAAGAACATTTTAATTTGCTTTTAAAGCAAAATGTGTTTTAAAGACTAATTTCTTTGACATCCAGGTAATATTAACTCTGGTAGGATGTTGTGGCTAAGTCATTAGCATCCAATCAGCGCTAATCTTAAAAGCCTTCATGAATAACTTTAAATCCTCCAAATTAAATTACATAATTGCTGTCAATTAATTATTTGCGAAAGTTTGGCAAGAAGGAACTGCATGTCTTGCAATTTTTTGGGGCCCTCTTAAACGCAATGCAGAAGCATTTTAACCCGTAGCAAGCGGAGAAGACAAGGGCCCTACAAAATAACCAACAAAAATATATATTTTTAAAGTTTCATATTGATGCTCCTGCACAGTGATGGGTCGTAGAATCTGCCAGTAATGCAACTGCCTGTCAGTAATCCAGAGCTTACTCTCGGCTGACTGTGAAATGTTGGCAAAGTTTCGAACAGTTTACATCTCACTCGTAACACCTTCCCCACCGCCCCCACCCTCTCCTCCCCGCCGCCGCCACCACCACACACCTCTTATTTTTATTTATTTATTTTTTATAAATTGCTTGACAAACTGAGTATTGATCGGCTCTGCACTTGACACGACCTCAGACGTAACGCGCACAGACCTTGAGGGGCTTCGTTTGATTGGGCGTTTTTTTTTCCTTCACATGAATAATCTTTTCCCCTCGACGTTTTCTCTTCCTTCTGCCTTCTCTCTACCTTGCCTTTGTCTCTCCGGCGATACCGTCATTTGTTTTCTTCTTGTTATATCTGCGTGTACGTCTGCGTGTACGTCTGCGTGTGCGTCTGCGTGTGCGTCTGCGTCTGTGTCTTTGTGTACGTCTGCGTCTGCGTGTACGTCTGTGTGCACCATGTACGTCTGCGTGTACGTCTGTGTGCACCATGTACGTCTGCGTGTACGTCTGCGTGTGCGTCTGCGTCTGTGTCCTTGTGTACGTCTGCGTGTGCGTCTTTGTGTACGTCTGTGTGCACCGTCTACGTCTGCGTGTGCGTCTGCGTGTACGTCTGCGTGTACGCCGCTTTTGAACCAAGCTTGCCATTTTCCCGCTGCGGTCATTATTCCGTCCCGGTTTTTAACCGTTTTCTGCCCCCCCCCCGCCTCCCCCCCCCCCCCCCCCCCCCGGCCTCCTCCTCCTCCCCCCCCACCTCCCCCTTACTTCCCCCACGACGCTAATGTTTAATGCAGTGTTTTTAAATCGTTCGACAATTTGGAATGAATTAAGTTGTCTGCCGAGATTAAGAATGTGACGTCTCTTGTGCCACTGCGCTGCCGCCCATGCTCGCCCGCCTTGAAGCGCCCGCTCTCTCATGCGCTCGGTGTTCCGCCTCTCCCACGCTTTGCCGTTGCACCGGCGGGCGCCTTGCAAACCGCGTGGCGGACGTGCCGCTCCGCGAATTAGTTTACGCCGTGTGGTGAAGTATGGGCAACTGGCACCCGTGACCCCCTGCCCGCCGTCGATAGGCGCTCCGCATCCATCGGGTGAGCTGACGGAAGATGACGTTCGTGCGCGTGCATGAGAAGAGGGGCTGCCCTTTAGCACGCACGCCCAAGCCAACGCTCCCGTGCGCGCGCGGCCCCCTTGTCGCTCCGCTCCTGGACGAGGGCCTTTGCGTGCCACGTGGATCGTGGAGATTGTTTGACCGTGCTTCACCACGCCGCTCGGCGCGGGTCGGTGGCCGTTGGGAGAGATTAGAGCTTTTAAGCGCCGTGCTTCATAACCCTTTGATGCGCTGCCCTCTTTATTCTAAATCTCTCGTCACCAGCCTGCTCTGACCAGCGTGGTGAAGTATGGTGAAACAAACCCCCTTGACCAGTATGGGCCGGGGAGGCTGTCATCCAGCAGGGGATTGACAGAGAGCTGTGATTTTTATATTTTTGGACTGGAATGCCTTCCGAAATTTCACCAGCGTCTTGAGATGCGGCCGCGTTTTTGACGCCCTCGCTGGTATACAGCTCTTGCGAGTCCACTGCTGGACAAGGGCCTCCCCACGCCTTGCCTTTCGTCGGTGTTATTTGACCATACTTCACCACGCTGGTCAGCACGGGTTGGTGAAGGCGGGCAGCATAGATGTGGAGGTGTAGACGTGTATTTCACCGTCTAGCCTACGTAGGCACCCAAGTCGCCTTATTTTCTGCGGATAGACTTTGGCTTTTTACTGAACACAGAGATTCGCTCGCTTGCTGAGAGATGAGCGATTTGCCGCCACGGTGGGCACCACCAGGAACGGCCGAAGAGGAGCGGCATCTTTTCCCTTTTCGGTTGCCGGTGAGGCCTGCCGCTTTCGTACTTGCTAATGGGCTCGTGTTCTCCTTGCCCCCCACCACCGCAACCACCCCCCTGCAGATCAGTGAGCAGGACATCGAATACCAGGACATGCTTGGCCATGGAAACGGAGGAACCGTCTACAAGTAAGCTCGGCCCGCCTGGCGTCACCCACAGTTCCGTCGGTCCGTCCGCGGTTGCCCATGCCGTTCATGAACAACCAAAAGAAGAAGAAAAAAAAGGAATGTACAAAAAAAATCGTAAGAAAACAGCTGGCGTCACGTCCCATAGAACGTCCACCAGATGAGACGCTCGCTATACAAGGTAATATTTTGTAAAGGAGCTCGGAGGCATCTGTTTTTATTGGAGTAGTGTACTGCCGAATTTATGACCCATAATTACTTTCGCTGCCTCGCATGCATTTACATGCCTAATGCCTCTTGGTGGAGGCAGGCAGCAGTAGCAGCAGAGGGAGTTGGTGGAGGCTGACGAAGGCGTACTAAAATCGGACCGTGCTCTGATATTAAATAAATGGAAGCTCTTCGTGGCATCCTTGGCCACGTCGAGTTGCCAGGCCCGTTGCACTGCGGGGGGCCTGGGGTTTGGTACCGCTCGTCAGGGATTTTTTTGCACACGGCGTTGGTGTACGTGGTGCTTTTTTCAGGAATATTTTGGCTGTGTTTTTTTTCCTGAATTTTCTGTTTGCACGGTCACGCAGAGTCACTTTAAGATGTTTCTCTTGTTCGTGTGTTTTTTGTTTGTTGCGGTTGCACCCGATTCAAGAGCCGAATGGCTCACAGGGCTATACCAAATAAATGAATTGAAAACTAAAATAAATTAAAAATGAAACAGGGGTTGGTGTACGTACGGCCATTGTTGCCCCAATGTTGGGGCTGCAGTTGCGGCTGTTGCTGTTGTTGTTGTTGTCGTGATTACAGCAGTTAGGATTATGATTGTGTCAGGCGTAGGTTTTGATAGGTTTTGGGTTGGGAATAGACCTTTGAGGCTAAGGCTGTCATTAGAGCTCGGGCTGCTGTTATTGCGTGGGGTTAGGTTATTGTTAAGCAAGGGGAGGGCGGGGGGGGGATGGAGCAGTTAGCAAATTGCGCTTTGAATCTCGGCGATCCCGAGCTGGCTTTCCAGCCACGGCTGACATTCAGCGCTGAGTGGTATCTCAACCGGTTCAGGGTGCTCACTTCAGCAGCCCGCCTCGGCCAACGTGGTGAAGTGTGGTCAGAATAAAATCCCATAACTGATAGCAGTGTGAAGAGGCATTCGTCCAGCAGCGATTTGACAAAGCGCTTTATATATTTTTTTGTGTAAACATTGTTAAATGTGTTGTTGGTACTGTGGTTAGTAAGGACTAATTTAGAATTATTGCCAGTGTGTTAGGGTTATCTATATGATGTTTTGTTATATTTATAATGTTTTTATGGTTTTTAGACGTGAATTTAAAGGTGTGTGAATTATTTGGAGACAATGGTTATGATTTGGGCAGGTTTATGGTTGATTTGGTATGAGGCTTATCAATGTTGTTGGCATACAAATTATTGCTAGGCTTAACATATATCTATGGTAATTGTAAATGTTCGGGTAATTAATCTAGAAACAGTTGCTGGTTGGTCGGACAAGAATGTATGTAGGGTTGGAGAGGTCATGGCCAGTTGTTGGGATTGTGGCTGTTGTTGGGGTTTTTTTTTACCGTTGCTCGGGGTCGCGAGAAGCAGGCCCTGCGTTCGGACACTTGGCCGCATGGGGTGTGCGGTATTTCACGCGCGTTGAGGCTATTGCAAGATCTCGTTTAATCACGACTCGAGAGCCTACTGCTCCTGTCACGGGAGCGAGCCTTCACGAGCGTTGCTGTTAGCACCGGACTGAGAGCCAAAGGTGAAAAGACCCCCCACCCCCACCCTGCCTTTCGATTACAAAACATCGTCTCCTACCAGCTACACCCCCCCCCCCCCGCACCCCCACCTCTGCCCACACAAAAGCATAAACGAGGACGCCACAGTTAGTCCATCGGCAGGTCGAGTGTGGCGGGGCTAAAGTGTGGAAACACCCGACTTTTGCCGGAGATGCCGTGGCCAGCGTGGAAGAGTAGGCAATGAATAGCGTCGATAGGCAGCTCTCTAGATCATCCTGAGGACAGGGGCTGCACCTTGACCTTTTTAATTTTGTTACGTGACCGCGTTCACGCTACGCCTTTCTGTTCTCACGTTGATCCGCTGGCGTCGCAGTCGCAGAATTGACTGCGGTCTTGCGCCAGTACCGCGCTGTTGACAGACACCGGTTCGCGCGCGCCATGCGCGGTAAACGGCTCGGACGTCCGAGCGCAATCCGTACTGGTCAATTCCGAACCCGCACTTGAGGCGGAGGGGGTGGAGCGTGGGGTGGGGGGCGGGGGCTCGTATTTACTGCATTTATAATTAAATTATCCTTTTGTTTTTTTGTTGTATTTCGCTCTCCGCCGACACGGCCGTTTGAATTTTTTGTAAGCAAACACTTCACTTGATTATTTTGCGCTCGATGCAGTCGCGTGTTTTTTTCCCTCTCCTTTTGTCACCGTATGGAAATCCTGCTGCCTGTCATCTGTGCACCCTTAGCGCGACAGCTCACGAAACAGAGAATCTGCAGGTGGCCCACTGACCTCGAGGGTGAGAGTGCTGAGCCGGCACCGCTAAGGTCATGGGTTCAACTCTGGGTTTTTAACTGCCCTGTGATGGAAGGCGAGTTGATGGTCTCATTCGAGTCACCAAAGATTGCACAAATAAATTCGTAATTTTGGCATTGAATGTAACTAAATCCGGCTTGGAGAATTTTAATATCATACGTTTTACTGGCTTGAGAGACACAATCTCATAGCAGGGCACGTTGGAAAGTGTGACCCATTATGAGTAAAGGATAAAAAGCCGACTTGAATTATCTTTCCGGAGGGTGCCCTGTGACAAATATCTTCTGCAAATGTTGGAGGTGCACCGTTCTGTGAGATTTCCAAATAAAATCTTAATTCTATGATGTGACCCCGATCGCACCATGGGAAAGAATTTTAAAAGGGACAAAAAAAACCGACCAAAGCATATATTTAGAAAAACAAAGGAATCTTCACCAAAGTAAAACATTTTTTGACAATTCCCAATGAGAGAGTGAATGAACTTAAACTTTTCTCCAGGGCTGGGGCTCTGGTCGCTCACTGCTAATGCTTCTCACCTCCACGCCCACCCACAATCTGTTTTACTCACAAAAAAGCCACAACTCCACTCCTGGCCCACCCACCCACCCACCTCCCTTCCCCAGAAAATATGCCGTATTGATTTGTTTCAACCGTGCGCAAAATGTTATAGAAAATAAGATTTATCTCAATTGCTTACTCCTTGGCTCAGATGTGTTGGGGATCATTTAACATAACTAGTGGGTAATCATTTATTTTCATCTGGTTTAAGGTTCTTCAATTTAATAAATTGGGCCAATTTGTTTTCGATGCATTGTGTCATTAAGTTGCTGCCGCCGCTGTCACAGCCTCGGGGGCAAGGGGTGAGCCATGGCCACGCCCATTCATCGCCTGCGAGTGAAAAATGAAACGGAATATTAGCGGTGTCTATCGGCGATGGGGCGTGGATCTCAGCCAGCAACCCCCCCCCCCCCCCCAAAATTACACTCTCTCTTGTGCCCCCCAGAATGTTTAGAGCCAGGGAATTTTCTCTGCCTGAAAACAAAAAGGCCCTCGTCTGAATGGGTTTCCAGATGGTGCATCGTTCAGTCGCCCATTAAAATAATCCCCGCGCAATCTAAGTCATTTCAGTAAAATTGTATTTATTGCTTTGACAGTGCTTTGTCATTCCACTGCTGGATGAGGGCCTCGCCCTGTAGTCATGTAAGTTGCTGTGGGAGGAGTATTACCGCAATGGTTCATGCACAGCACTATAAAGGTGGCGACCAGAGTTTAATTCCCGGCCACAGTGAACATCGTTGGCCGGGTGATACATGAACTCCACCCCTTCACCAACCTGGTGAAGTATGGGCATATAACAAGATGTAGCATGTAGAGGTTTTTGATCTTGCTGTTGATTAAGAAAGAGCCACTACGTTACGAATAAGACCATTTTTTATTGCTTGAGAATATTAGCACGACTTCTTGTAAACATTTATTAATGATCACAAGCCTGTAAGTTATATTATTTATATGCAGAATTCTAATTTATTTTCAGTATTACTCCCTCAATCCGTGATTTTCTCCGCGATTCGTATCGAAACGTTGAGCGTTGGTCCGCTTGCGTCGTCCGTCGCACACGGTCGCTCGCCAACGATCTCAGGCGTGGCAGTGCGGATTTATCCAGCGCAGAGTGACGTCGTGACCAACTCCGCGCTTCCTGGCTCCGTTTGTGTGTATCGTGGTGAAGTCATCGTGCATGACCATGGACTGGGTGCATAAGTGCAATATTTATTCAATGCCAAGTTGAATTTTCGAGAAAAATGTATTTAAGTTATTGTCCCCAGCGCTACGATTGCTTCGGGAGTAGAATTTCGGGGAAAATTACTCTTGCTTCGAGACAAATTGAAGAATAGAACCAAGCGGATAGGAGGTAAAAAAGTGGGCAAACTATGGATGGGGTCCTTTACGTAATAATAAACGTTGCATGTGTTTAATCATTAAGGGGGGGTGGAGCGGTAGCACGGTGGTTAGCGTCACTACGCTATGAACCTGGCGCGCTCCCTCCTTTGACCGCTGGCCATAATCCCTTTCTGCGCGAGCCCGTTTACTCCTCTTACCAGCCAATGCAATGCCTCTGACTTGCGTGCGTTCTCATTTGCGTATATAATTCGCATGCATCGTAGCCGATTGGCTCTTGCGCACAGGGTTCAACGCGTGCACCGTTCGATAAAACCATCACGCGAACTTCGGTCATCCTCGCGGCGGCTTTCGGCTCGCCATCCAACGAAGACGGTCACCGCATCGCGCGCTTTCAGATGCGCTTCTGCGGCCGTCTGGAACGCTCTTCCTTCCGATATGAGGAAGCCACTGGAGCGGTGCACTTTTACATCTGGATTGAAAAATAATTTCTTTCGAACTGCTTTTTTGTCTTTATTTTGTCGTCCTTCCCCGCATCTCCAATTAGCACGGTTGGCTATGTACGGTGCGAAGGAAGTT